CCTAAAACATCAATAAATATAGTACCAAGACCTTGTATAGTTTAAGACCATCAACATGATGCCTTTAAGCCTTATTAAACATCTAGTTTATATATTGCCATCTCATATCATTATTAATATTCTATCCCAATATATAAGGTGGGGTAGGAGCACTTTGTCAACACTACTTTTCATTTAACTATTAAATTAATTTAGTATTTTATTAGAATCACTATATTTCAAAATTTTAATATATAATTTTGTAAAAAATTATGAGTGCCTTTTTTTTTTAAGAGACAATTACAAGTGTTAGGTTTTACTAATAATTTTGCCTTAGGCCTCAAAACATCTTAACACGGCCCTGCTGACAAGACATACAATTTGCATAGCTTTATGATACACAATTTATGTTTGGATAATTTTTCAACCTAGATTGAGTGGCCCAAATCTAGGTTAGGATGTTAAAAGTTCATATGATCATGTCAACAAGTGTTAAGGGGAGAACAGGCATTTTCAACAAAGCTACCTCATAGAGCTTTCTAACTAATGTTGAGATTGAGTGGGAGACATTAGAGCATTTAATGCTTTTCTTAATTTTTTTTATCATACTTCTCTCTCTTCATTATCTTCATGAGTGTCAATGAGCTGATCTCTTTGCTCTACCTTCACGAGTTTGAGCTTTTTTCCTCCTTATCATCGCCATAAATGTGACCTCCTTCCTCCCCAACATCTCACAATATTAATGTTTAACTCTTTGGCAAAAGGTGCTAGATGTAATATCCAACTCTATAATAACTAAGCATGGGTAATCAATGGTATTAACTCAAAAGTAATTGCCCAATCATATGGTTAACCATTTAAAAGTAATTTAAAACTATAAGTATTTCTTTCAAAAATTGAGATATCAAGTTTAAGTTTTAATAAAACCAGTCAAAATGACTTTATTGAGTCAAAATTTAAGAATAAACGATTATGGAAGCATGAGATATCATTCGATAGTTAAAAAGACTCAAAATTAGCTAAAAAATTTTAAAGGAGTGGAAAATAAAGAAATGCACACAACATTATGCTTCTCTGTGCAACATGCCGTGGTACAAGTGCCATTTTTCATAACTTAGCTAACGACACTGGTTTTAATTTCAAATAATTTCACATAAGGAAGTTAAACACCAAAACATATTTTCTCAATTTTTCACACTTTTCACAACAGGGTGTCCAAAGCCAACATGTGTGTTAAAAGCTACCACTAATACCTAGACCATCATCATAGGACTAAGGACAATCTAAACAACACACCACATGCATATAATAACAACTAAATTTTATTTTTAATCCTCAACCACTTAATATAAAAAATAAAGGAGGAGGTCTAGCATGTGCATTTCATCAATATTAATGCATAATGGAGAATATGAATCATTCCTACACTTATACTAGTATTTTGACCCTATTAGAATTAATCAAATTTACGTATACACATTTCATAGCCTAAAATACAACAATCAATCATGAACATCATTATAGCGTAAGTATATTTAAAATGTATTCCTAATGGCAATATCTTATAATTACACCCAAAAAAATTAAGTCTGGGAGGCTTTAATGTAGGAATGATTTAATTCCTAAGCCTTTGGAGATTTTCCCCTATCCACACTCGAGTTAGAACCTATAAATTGTTAAGAGATAAGGGTGAGTATACCTACTCAATAACTAAGATTCATCTAATCTATGTAATTACTTATCAATTAACATTAAACATATTTACACATAAATACAATTACATAGTCACATGAACACACTTATTTCATTTCACATACATGGATAAGTTTCATACATATCACAATCACTTTATGGCATTCATTATCACACTGTTAACAACTATGTGGCAATAGCAATTCAATAATCATGACTTGCCACAATCTTAACAACTATGTGATATATCAAATAATATGCATGATTGAATCATCCTTATATCCTTCTCAGAAACCATGGGCTATAATACAAATAGGGTTCTATCTGTGTGACTGAACTATCCAAACTCACCCATTGTGAGGAGTGACCTAGCCAAAGATCACTATACTTACTCTCAAACTATATCTTCTCCCATTCTCAAATCCCTAGGATGTCATAAAAGCCTAAGCTAATCTCCTCAACCAATAAGTGGAGATAACTAGGTTTAAGTCCTTTGACAAACAATGAAGCAATCCTCAACAAATAATAGGATAAGGCTAACTTTCGATTATCGAAAGGTAGCTATATAATACCATGTGGATTTATTTACTTCTCTCCCTAAGCGAAGTCCTACCAAAATATCATGCAATAAATGTATGCTCACATTCTCAACATATTGTCATATGCAACAATAAGCCCATAATACCAATCACAATCAACATTCTTTCATATGTGAACATCGCATAAAATAAAATATCATCACATCATCATTCACCTTAACAATATCATTTCATAATTACTATACTCACATTATTACATTTTCATGCATGTAACTTTTGCTTGATTAAATCAAATCATGTTCTTCACATTACTTAGTCAATATAATATACACACATATGTCCATGAATTAACCACTCATTTATTAGTATAAATTCATTAGATATTCTTTACGAAACATAACATGGAATTAATCATTAATATTAAACATATCATCTTATAAATTTCAATCAATTAACATACAACTATACAAATTAGATTTCTTCTATTTACCTCAAACTTTAAAAGGTCAAAAACTTGCCTCTCAAATAATTTACTTCCAAGCTTGCTCTCAAGCTCAATTAGGTGCACGGATTGTTAATTTATAAATAATTATGTCCAAACTCATCATTATCAATATTTTCACAATCTAAACTCTTATTCCAATATTTGAAATATCCTAAAGTTCTATTTCTAGCATTCAAGCTTACACATTAGGTTTAAAAAACTTTCATTAGCCTTAACAAACATCATTAAATTCCTTGCTTACCATTAATGGCTTTCAATCAACTCCAACAATCATAATTAGTGGCTAATTTTAGCCATAAATGCACCTTCAAGTACCAAAACATGTAAAAACTTTAATTATTAGTTTAAACAACTAAAATAACTCTAATTGACTCTGTTAAGTCAATGAGTTCGAACTTATAACCTTTATAAACTGAAAATCACATCTAACAACAAACCCTAATAGCCAAACTTCTGAACAATTAGAGAGAAAGGAAGATAAAGGCTTGAGAAATTTACCTCTTGTATTTAAGAGCCCAAAATTCTCCCAAATCTTCAATTTTTCAAGTTCTAGCAAATCTCTCCAAGTGCTTTAAGTCTCTCTTGCTCAAATTTTTGTTTCTCTCTTCTTTTTGAATTGAAACTCAACTTATCATTGTCAAAATTTGGCTATCTATTACAACGCATGACACATGAGCCGCCGCATGTGACATAGAGTTTCTATTCACATTTTTGTGAAGCAAACGCCACAAGACATAATGTGTGCACCATGACATATGGTACAAAGGTGCTTTCTCTTGTTTTTTTTCCTTCTTTGCTTCAGATAAGATATGAAATTATAATTCAAGGAATTAGTTAAGACCCTCTAACAACACATCATTTTAATTTACTTAATTAATCCTTATTTAATCTAGTCAACAAGGGTTTAATTTCAAGATGTTATACCAGTTTCATAGACGGTGATGATGGAGGCAAAATTGAGGCTATTAACAGCAATTGGCAAGAGCAGAGAAAGGAAGAACAAGATGATGATGGAATCGAAAATGAAAGGAATGGGAACCAAAACGAGGGTAGCTTTGTCACAATGTCAACCTCTCTACTATAATCAATAATCTTTGCATTTTTGATATAAAGGTCGACGCTGTGAATAGAAGTATTGATGAAATTTATTTCTTTCAAAGTCTCATATGTATATAATTATTAGGATGGGAATTTTTTGATTGACTGATGTATTCATACTTGTAAACTACTTTTTAAAAATTTGGAATTTTAAGTTTAATATTTTTTGTACAAATATCAAAATTTGTCCAACAAATTTTTTTAAAAAAAAATCTAAACATAAATCATGTTAAAGTTACAAAAAAAAAAATCTAACCTCAATTTTCTAACCTTAGTTAAGTACTAACCTTAATTATAAATTTTTTAATTCAAACTAACACTAAATCTAACAAATATTCATAGACATCAATCACCCTAATCCAACAAGCTTTTTAAAAGAAACTTATTGTTTTCTATATCTTGGCCCACAATGACCTGTTGCATTGAGATGGCAATTCAGATAGGTCAGGCTATCTAAAATCTTGTTTTGCCTTCCATAAATTGACATCCCAAAAAAATGCGATCCTTATAAGCCTTCTCTTGTACTACTTTTTTTTTTTTGTTGAGCTTATAAGGCTACGATTCAAACCGTACATTTACAAAAAAAATTAGAAAAATATCTGAACACAAAAAATTTTTTACACCCTGTAGGTCATTAAAAATTTGAATATTGAAATTTGAAACTACCCTTATCGGCTTAATAAGCCAACCAATCAACACACTAATTTACTTCATTAAAAACATAATCAATTGAAACCTATCAATGACGCATAAGAAGATCCATAATCCTTGTAATAAAATTAGTAGAAGAATGATTAAATTTGAATATATACTCCTTCAATCCTCTTTATAAATTATTTTCACTAACCTCATTAATACCAATGCAAAAAAAATATAAAACATAAAAGTGTATAAAATTTTAAATATATTCATACATAATAAATTTAAAAAATGATGTCATATTACTTTTTTTTTTCATAAAAAAAATTTTAAAATACTTTTAAAATATTATCTACAAATATGCAATGTGACTTATAAATAAAATCCAATAAACCTTTTAAATTGTCTAAAAAGTCTTAGTAAACGTTAATATGAGAATAATTTTCTTCCCAGCAGGATTCGAAAGTATTAAACACTACCAGCTTGCACGCCATCTTTCAATAGTATTAAAATAAATCTCTGAACGTAAATCAAGAAGTTGGTTTTCATTCAAATAAAACAGTTACATTGATTTCAACGTCCCGCTACAAGCCGGGCTTTATTCAACAGCTCAAGACTCCATCTAATAACCACAGTCCCATTAAAAGGAAACAGATTGGTAAAACTTACATGTCAAATAAGTCTCATTTTCTATCTCTTCACCAAGTCACTGCAGAGGAACTACAAGAGCAAATGAAATCTGAAGTGCTCAAACATGAAATTAAGTGTCAAAAGACTAACTAAAAGAAAGAACAGTCAAGTTTTGTCGACACCAACAAGCACCATTCAAATTGGTACTGTACCATGAGACTTGTACGTTAGTAGCATGAGACTACTTTTTTTCTTCAGCAACGATTTTGTATTTCCCAGATAGCTGTTGCTGCAAATAAAATCATAATCATTTACAGATAAGAGAAATCATGTGGGTTCACTATTAGTAAGGCAAAAGAAGCGAAACAGCCTAAACATACTGTATCCTTTACAAGTCTACTGTAAAAATCTTGATTCAGATCCTCTAGATAGCATACAATGTCGTCGTCATTTTTTTTAAGTGATCTAGTTTCATATTTCTGTTTCACCTTCATACAAAATTTAACAATCATTTAATTTAGATCTCAAATCTATTTGAAAGGAGAAAACAAAGACAGATTGGTTTAAATTTGCTACTACTTCAATTGGGGTTGGGGTTGCACAACACTACCGCACAAACGCATATTTAAACTCAGCTTCCACTCCAATTGATTGGCTTACTTTGAATCAACAAATCCAAGAGATAAATGTAGACACACTAGATACTCGCAAGATATTAAATTTAATCTCTTTAGGAAATATCAGCTTATTATTTCCAAGGAGACCTAAATATGAATCAATATGACCAATCAAATAAATCACATCAAGCATTGTCAAATTTGACTTGAAATTTCAAAGAAATAATACTCTAGAAATCAAGATACTAAATCTTGCACAGGTTATTGAATCGATCAAAATAATAATTTAATAGTCAATAATCAAGATTGTGATTGAACTAATACCAACCCAATTATAATTATTTTTTTAACTCCAAACCATATTATTTTAGGGTCAATAAAGTGAGAAAAAATATATAAAATCTAATCTATTAACCTGATTAAAACTACTTGATTGGTCAGATAGAAATTAGTTCACCAATTTACTAGTCTGACTAATCAACTTGAGTTGAGTTTTAATATCATTATATAAATACAAACCTAAATCATTTAAAAAATAATAGACAACTATACTGTTAGGCATTAGCACACCGAAATTATATCCTAGCCTAGCAAAAGAAACAGCAAGCTTCCTGAAAAGATGTACCTTTTTCCATAGTTCAGTGTGGCTTTTGCAGAAACCAGCAACAATGGTAGCACTTTTCTTCCCTTCTCGATACTCAATGCTAAGATCCTCTTTCAACCCACAAGTGACATGAAATGCCAAAGGACACTTGACCTCAGAACACAAAATGGAACATCCATTTGAAGATTCACAAATATAACACTTCTCAGACCATCTCTTCTTCGGAACCTTTGAGCAATCAATTCCCTCTCTTCCTTCTGGGTCCCTAAAAAACACCTCAGGGACTAAAAGTGCACACACAAGATGGGCCCACCGTTCATCTACAGTGGGCTTCATAGCCCCTTCCTTTGTAGGACAGAGGCAACAAGAAATGTTGCTTTCATCATCATTCTTAGATTGAGAAGACGATGAAACCCTGCATTTTTCACAGAACCAATCGCCTTCTGGTATACCCTTTACAAGTGGATTGCCATAGCAGGAGGCGTGAACCATTAGATCACACCCATCACAGAGAACGATTGGATCTGCTGGATCCCCATCTGTGCTTTGACATACAGCACACACAATCCCATCTTCGTCATCCTCAACAACATCTTTGACATTTTCATTTTCATTTTCAACATCGAGTGAATTCGCTGCTAATGGAATCTCAGCATCATTGGCCTTATCATCTACTGATCTTACTTCTTCCTCAACCGATGGTTTGTATTCAACATTGAGGTCAATAGAAGAAACACCAACATCGGAAGCAAAATCAGGTTGAAGAGCCCATACCCGTTTCTTAGCTGGTAACGAATAAGCATTGACAGAGACTGAAAGAAATGTTGAATCTCGCGATTCCTTACGCTTCTTTGCCGGTAAGGTTGAGCAGGAAACGCCGGTGGCTTCATCCTGCGATCTGTGATTGTGAGTGTGATGTGGCTGATGATTCTGGAGCTCTTGTTGCTGCTGGATGAGTCTGAATCGCTTGAGGGGAGGTAAGCCATGATAACTGGGGTCCATATTTTTTGGGTTTTCTGGGTTTGTTTGCGGGGTTTGAAAACAGAAACAGAAGGAAGAAAGCAAGGAAGAAGTATAAGTGAGAGAAAGAGAGCGAAAGGAAATAGAGGTTTGGAAATTGAGAGGGAGTGAAATATTTTGGGGTTTCGGAATTTGAAGTTTGAACAGAGCGGTGAAGCGAATTGGAATGAGAAAATTGATGCTTTTGAATATGGCGGGACACCAAAAATACTTTGGACCGGTTTGTTTCGTTGGGAAATAACCCGCGCTTTGTCTGCTGACACGATATGTGTGTGTATATATATATATAAGAATAATAGTCAGATCATAAATATAACTTAATAAAAATTATGTGACGATAATTTTTCAAAAAAATAAATTGCAAATATTAATTTAAATTATATTAAAGTTTAAAATTTTAATTAGAAATTAAATTTTTAATTTTTAAATATTTTTTAATTTGTAACTTACATTTTTATTTATATCTGTCTCATTTTTTTATTTCATTCATTAATATCTTGAAAAACATATGAGTGTATCTATGAGAATGCCCCTGATATATTTATTTAATATAACTACATGTCACAAGATTTGAAAATAAAATCCTAAAATAAATTGATTTAACATCTTCAACTAGTTGAACTAAACACCATAATTGTCTTATTAGTATTCTTGAAATATGAGGTAAGATTATCTGAATTATATCCACAAAAAATATATGATATTATTATGTGTTTATTTTTTTCAGTCATTTTATTGCAATAAGTTTCATAAATTTGTGTTCAGAATTGTGTAAATCATTGTGTTTTTTTTTTTAACTATTGTTTAAGCATTTAAAAATACATTTTATTGCAGGAGTCACATGTACCGATAATTAAAATATAATGCCAGACCAAACAAATGCCGGGTTCTAAGTGCTCGCTGCGCAACAGGAGTTGTATGATTTGTTTATGGTAATAAAATTTAAACTATTATTTCTTCTATTTAAAAATATAAGATATTTTTAAGAAAATTGATGTTTAAAAATATAAAGTATTTTTAATCTTTTAAAATATAATTATTTTCTTTTTTTAAAAGTACACATATTGATAGTAACTTTATAATTAAAATATAATGCTAGACCAAACAAATGCCGGGTTCTAAGTGCTCGCTGTGCAACAGGAGTTGTGTGATTTGTTTATGATAATAAAATTTAAACTATTACTCCTTCTATTTAAAAATATAAGATATTTTTTAAGGAAATTGATATTTAAAATATAAAGTATTTTAATCTTTTGAAATATAATTATTGTCTTTTTTTTAAAAGTACACATATTGATAATGACTTTATATTTATTATACAGTGTTTAATAGAGATAAATATGAAAAAGATAGGGTTAATTTGAAAGTAAATAACTACTTTTATTGGGGGTAAAATTTGATTAAAAATGCCTTATATTTTTTAACGGAGGAAGTAACTATTTATTTAATACAAAGCCATCTAGTTGCATTCACTTATAAAATAAATTACAACATATATAAGTGTTGCTGAAAAAAAATTTTGTAGTTCTGTCCACAGAAAATATAAATTTTAATATAATTAAACTTTTTTGATGATTAAAGTTGGTCGATAATAATGGTGGAATTTTTGTAATTCAAGTTCAATCAAACCTTTCCATATAAGATTAGCAAGAGCTAGCATAGCAGGTATTGGTAATTAGCCATATAAGCTTAATTTCTTCATTGGAATCTGTTGTCAAATGGCAGCAATGGTTCTTTTTTTTTTTTTTTTTTTTTGGGGGGGGGGATAGTGCATGTTTGGTAGAAAGAGAAATATTTCCTAAAAAGGAAATAAGAAATGTCCTTGGAAAGAAATTTTGAATAATTGTATTTCTTAATTTCTTTCCAGAAAAAATTTTTTTAACATTGCATAAGGGATTAGAATAAAATAGTGCCCAAAGTTTTTAAAGTATGAGCAATATTTTCATTTAATCTTAATTTATTTCCATCTATTTTAAACCTCAGGCGCAGACTGGATTAATGACAAATTTCTTCCTAAATACAATGAAGTCCTCAAGTATTTAGTTTGGACTCTCAAAACTTGAACCAAAACAATAATAATGTATATAAAGTGATAGTTTACTTGTATTTATTTATTTATTTTGCATTCAAAGGCAAAAACAATAAATTTGTGTTAAAAAATGAAGTGGTGATTAAATCCCTTTTTTTCATAGTAGATTATAAAGCAGTATCTATTAAATTGACACAACTTTCCAATTAAAAGGCATAGCCTCATGATAATATTAACATCACTCTAAATAGGTATAGCTCCCATGGAATAATACTGCATTTCAATAAGTGCAAGAGGATTTTTTTTTATTTATTTATTAGTAACCTCATGATGGTTATTATACCTTTTTTCTTTTATTTGGAAGAATTACTACATATTTTGGTTTCATATTTTTCCGAAGGTGTCTTGATACTTTAGGTGTTATAGGTGCATGAGGTTGATAATTTCTAGTATTATAATTTCTTACATAACGTTTAAGTTAAGTGCATTAATTTACAGACATGACTATAATCTATACATATGAGACTCGTCTCTTCATTGTGAAAATTTTCTCACTAGGTATAAGCTTAAATTTATCACCTATATTAACATACTCTATATATTGTTGATAGCATCAAAAGCAAGACATGATTTAATCTGAACTAAGGGTAGTGAAAACAACCCAGATGCAATTTTAATTAATGACTGGAAAGGATAACAAGTCATCGCTGAAACAGTTCCAAAGCTTATGCATGAATTCAACGACTGATTACATACAAATTCTTCACTCAGAAGGTGCAGAGCGTCTCCAAATTCCAGCCAACGCGCTTCCGAAGATTGAATGTGCCACACTGGAAACTGCACATGGTACTGTTGTCAGAGGATCCCCAAAATGCTTTGTAGCTAGCACAAGTCCAAGAACCGAGTTCTGTAATGTGGAAAGCCACAAAAATAGGCATATTTTTAACTTCTCTATGTAATGTGTAAAGTCCTGATATGTTTCATTACCCCACAATCAACTTCTGGTATCCCACAGAATATGATAAATGATTGGCAATATTTATGGTCCAATGTCAAGGGCATTGTTAAAGTTTTATCATACATAAAATAGCACGAGTTTGAAGAATAAATCACACTATTCATAACGTAAAAGGAAAAGGTGTGCATCCTATAAATTTTATTTATATATATATATACATATATTAAAATATATTGATGCATTGATTAAAACTGAAATAACAATATCATTAATTAAAATATGTTTCACTTATAGCCCTACAGTTGCATAGTCAAAATAGTCTTTTAAAGAAATCCTGGTGATAGTTTCAGAACAATGAAAATGTTACAAGTGAACCAGACAATTTATAACGAAAAGTTCATCATTTTAACATTCTGTGTCGTTATTTTTCATTGATTTCGGTCGTAAAATACCATGATTGATTAAGTGACTAACTGATTTTGTTTTCTATTTTTCTAGTACAGGACAGAACAAAGATTTGAATCGAAGACATTTCACTAACTACTCAGACTTCCCAATCACTAGACCATTCTAGTGGCCTAATGTTTTACCTGCATGCCAACCTCAATGGAAATTGTTCGAGATGAGGACACATCTATCCCCAGCATCCTTGCAAGTATGTAACCGAAGAAAAACCCAGAAGCATGAAGAAGACAGGAAGCTAGAATCACTTGCCCTCCAGACATGAGGATTGCTGAAGAACTTTGGGCTATGGCATTTCCACATAAAATTGCCACGGTTGCTACAGCAACAGGTGGCATCAATGGGTTGAAGAATTTAACAAAAGGCTGGAAAAACTGATTCAAGAAAGCACCAGCCAGAACAGGTAGGAGCACAACCTGTTTGACATGAAAAAGACAATGATAAAAGCATCAAAGCAGAAGCCGCTTGAGACTAGCTCAGTTATTAAAGGCGAAATGGAATGTTGTAGTGATCAGGATTCGAATCCTCCTAATGTAAACCTTAAAAAAAAAAAAAAACGGCATTAAAGCAGATATGGAAATAGGAAACTTTTGATAAGCAATGTTACCTGCAAAGTTGACACCAGCAAGTCAGCTGCATTCACAGCTACATATTTACCAGCTAGTTTTGCTGTCAGAAAAGGAGTCATGACCTGAAACATAAAAGGAAAAGATTAAAATGGTGGATGTGAGATCAAATTTATCTCATATCAAACATGTAAAGTCGTTATTGTAATACTTAATTCTTATGCCTTTACATGTAAAAGGTTTAAGATAGCACATTACTATCAACACTCAACCCAAGAATAAAAATTAAAACAGAAATCATTATACCACAGAGGCAAAAGTGCTTGCAGCTGTCATTAACACAGAAAGCGCCACATTGCCTCTGGCAAAACAAATAGATCATTAGAACTACTAGTCCTTCACATGCATTAAGAATGAACTGTCAGAAAATTCTGAGAACCAATGTACCGTGCAAGATAAGTAACAATGTTACTAGCCGTACCTGCAAACATTAAGGAGATTACTTTGATCAGGTGGAGGATGGAGTACAAATATAAATAAGCAGGACAATACACATACCACCAGGGCAGCACCCAACCAATATTAAACCAGCTGCATAAGGTGATGGCAGATTTAAGAGTTTGCTTACAAGAAATCCAGATATTGGCATAACCTGAGAATTGTCAGATATCACATTCTCACAAAGTAAACAAATGTCATACTGTATGAAAATAAACTACATAAGTGTAAAGAAATATTTAGACACAAACAGGGACAAATCATCATGAAAAAATGGTTCAGTGTGCCAGTAAATTGAGAAGAAAAGGAAACGCATCTCTAATTACATATCATAGGAGTAGGTGGCTACATATCATGGGTATCATCTAAGCAAAAAGAACTTGAAACTGCCCCCTCTGGCATGATAAACACATGAATGCTCAATTTCCAAGGGGTTAACTTATTATCCATGGAATCAAATGCAACAAACTATGTAAGTAAGGCTGCCCGTAGTAAGAACTACTTGGTAAAAGACAAAAGTTTGATAGTTTAAGGTATGAATACAAGTATAAAACCAAGATCCGACCAAGATATAATGCCTTTTTTGTATAATCATAATCGCTGAGGATACAACAACAACAACAACAACAACAACAAGCTTTTATCTCACTAGGTGAAGTCGGCTACATGGATTGCAAGATGCCATTGTGCTCTATCATTTATCAAGCTTTTAGGAATATTATTAATTAAAAGATCGCGTTCAACAACTTCCAAGAGTGTTCTCTTAGGCCTTCCTCTATCCCTCTTAATCGGACTCAAAGTTATATGTTCCACTCTTCTCACTGGTGCCTCCCTTGGTCTTCTTTGTACATGCCCAAACCATCTCAACCGATTTTCTACCATTTTTTTCTCAATAGGTGCTACCCTCACTTTTTCGCGTACGTGCTCATTTCGAATTTTATCTTTACGTGTATGTCCGCACATTCATCGTAACATTCTCATCTCTGCTACTCCAACTTTATGCTTTTGCTGTCCCGTTAGAGTCCAGCATTCACTACTATATAACATTGCCGGTCTGATAGCAGTGCAATAAAACTTTCCGTTAGAGTCCAGCATTCACTACCAATTAAACCACCCAGCTTGAATCTTATATGAAATATCTCCACTGATTTCGCCATCATTTTGAATAATGACTCCCAAATATCTAAACTTTTTCACTTGAGGTATAATTTGATCTCCCAATTTCACTTCTAAATTATTGTCGAATAGTCTCTTACTAAATTTACAATATAAATATTCTGTCTTACTCCTACTCAAACGGAAACCTTTCGACTCCAATGTCTTTCTCCATAACTCAAGTTTGCAATTAACCTCTTCTCTTATCTCTGCTACAAGAACTATATCATCTACGAAGAGCATACATTTGGGAATTTCCCCTTGAATATGTTCCGTCAAAACATTTAGAATCAAGTTGAATAGATAAGGACTCAGAGATGATCCCTGATGTAGTCCAATCTTTATAGGAAAATCATTTGTTTGACCACTAGGCGTTCTTATACTAGTTTTTACCCCCTCATACATATCTTGTATGGCTTTAATATAAGCAATCCGTACTCCCTTTTTTTCTAATGCTTTCCAAAGCACTTCTCTTGGTATACGGTCATAAGCTTTTTCTAAATCAATAAAAACCATGTGTAAATCTTTATCTTTACAACAATATTTCCATTAATCCCCTTAGTAGATAAATCGCTTCTGTAGTTGATCTACCTGGCATAAAACCAAACTGATTCTTAGAAATACTTGTCTCCAATCTCAACCTGTGCTCAATTACTTTCTCCCACAATTTCATTGTGTGGCTCATGAGTTTAATCCCTCTATAGTTAGTACAATTCTGAATATCTCCTTTATTTTTATAAATAGGAATTAATGTACTTTTCCTCCACTCATCAAGCATTTTTTTGGACCGTAAGATCACATTAAATAACTTAGTTAACCATCTCACCCCTTCTTCACCTAAACATTTCCACGCTTCGATAGATATACAATCAGGTCCGTTGGCTCTACCATTTGCCATTTTCTTAAGAGCTTCCTTCGATAGAATGACAAATTTTGTTCTCCTTCACCAGTTACTAAATCCTCCAAGTTATTATATGAACCCTCTCCATCATTGAAAAGTTTGGAAAAGTAAGTCTCCCATCTATTTTTAATTTCATCATCTGTAACTAAAATTCTTCCCTCTTCATCCTTAATACACCTAAGGATCTATTATAAATTAAAGAATATGGGATTTCCGCTCTTTAGACGTCTTAGATTGGAAATAGATAGCTGGCATTAGTCCCTTGGCTATTCATTCATTACCATCATTTCTGCATCCCCAAAAAATTGGTCAGTTTCTCTGCCTTAATTGAACATTTTGCCAGCACCTCCGACAAGCTTAGTAGCATAATATAGCATCTCAAGCATACCCAGAATTACTGGGTCCCTTATCTTCATTAGGACCATCAAACGGGGATTCCAAATCCAATGCCTAGAGGTACTGGCTTCAAAATAAATAATATAACAAATGTAATAGTAAAATGAATTAGCTGTCTGACAATATCCTACAAATACATAAGGGAATCATTGAGGAAATGAAGAAAAAGATTTTAAATCCACTGCAGTTGGTACGGCTCTTCATGAAACAATGAAACTAACATAAGGGGACAGCATACAGAACGACTAATCAGATTAACAATGTAGAAAATCTTTGTCAATCAAGGCAGGAAACCAATGACTGACTATTTTAGCTTCTACGTAAATATACTAACCGAATACTGAAGCACGAAACCTGAGAGTACTTCCTTAGGCATAGCAAGAGCTCCACGAAGATCATCAAAAGTAAGCGTCATACCCATGCCAAGCATGATCGTGGTTAGACCAAGAATGCTCAATTTGGGCGTCACCCAGTCGAAGGAACTAGGTTTGACCAACCCCAACACGCACCCAATAGTAACCCACAAGGGAAATGCCGTGGACAGTACCTCTCCAACAAGCTCCACCCAATCCCGAAAACTCCGGCCACCATTTGAACTATACTGATTCGGTGAAATGCCGCAACGAAGAGGAGGAGCATAGCTTAACCTATAAGTTTTGCGGATTGTCGATAATGGAGCTAGACTGGTGCGCGGAACACGAATAGATTGGTTTAACACTAATTGTGGGTGAAATTTGCGTTGAAGTGTGAATTTAAAGGAGCAATTGTTGGGAGGAATCGAAGCGAGATGTGAGCAAGTTCTTGAAGAACGTAGTGAAACCACCAGATTGGGGTCTGATTGAAGCTTGAAAAGTGATTTTCCATGGTGAGAGCTTGCGATTGATGCTAGCATTGGGTTGCTTCTCTTTTTGCCTTTGGGAAATCTTAAATCCAATTATCCGAACAAACACAAATTTATTGCTCCACCAATGAATGTCTGGACGCACCTTGATCGCTGGCCCCGCAGTGAGTTTTTACAATCAACCCCGCCTCTTGGCTGTTGCATGCGAATGTGTCCGTTCAGATTCTTCGTTAGTTTAGCTTTAGCGACCACACAGTGATGGTGAGAACCTGACGACACATGAGTAAAAAATTGTCGAGAAGGCGCTACTATTAATCCTTATATATTTTTTTTTAATTTTATTTTTTATTATTTTAAATTTCTCTAAAATTTTTATACTTTATTTATATAAAAATCTAAAATAATAAAACATAAAAATACAAAGATTAAAATACAAAAAATAATAATAAAATGCTGGTAAAGTCTGAAAATTTAAAATTATGTTTTTCTTAAATTTTCATTTAAATTTTAAATTTAAAGTGTGAAATTTATTTTTGTCCACAATCTTTATAATTATTACATGAATTTGCCTCTTTATGCATGGGCGGAACCAGCATGAGATTTTAAGTGAAGCTAAAGTTGGGTTGTATAATCATAAACAAATGTTTATGTATGTGTACATACCTTTCATCCATCTTATTTATAAAATAATTTTAACTTGTTTTGTTAAAATTAATAAAATCATTAACTCTTGCTAAATATTTAATAAGTTTTTTAATTTTATTCTTATTTAATATATATACTTTATTGACATGTTTTCTCTCACCAGTATTTACTCTTCATCTCAATTGAAGAAAAGAGCTAGAAATAAAAGAAAATTATGAGAGAGAGCTTCTAAAAAGAGTTATAATTTTTGAAAATTTCTTCTTTTAATTTTCTCACATCTCTATTTTCTTTTCACATTTCTCTTCACCTTAATGGAGTAAAAGAAAAAAATTGTTATAAAAAAATTAATAGCATATCTATAAATAAGATTAAAAAAATTCATTCTATCTTTCTTATAAACAAAACCAAGAGGAAAATAACTTAATTCTCGATTGCTTTTTATATGTCAACTTACTATCTCTTTTCTATCATAATTTTTTATGCTAGCATTTGTATACTTTTCTTTCTCTCTTTCAACATGCTTGAGTTTGGATTTAACTAAAACAACCTCTTTTTAAAATAGACTCCATTCTATCAAAACATCGTGCAATTATTACTAATAAGCCTTGCCCAAAAACACCTAAAAAAAGCCTTTTTAACTAAATCTAAAAGCCTTTTTAAATGGAGTCATAGTTGAGAGACATGTCATGAATATGAAATCTATACCTCCTTAGAAAAAATAAAAAAAATGGCCCCCCTCAACATATAACCTAATTTCACCCCTATCCTTATAGGTCTCCATGTGCAAGATTTTTGTAAAGATGAAAAATTGGGAGAATTACATTTACGTTTAAGATGTGATTTTGTTATGCTTGAGTTGCTAATAGATTTGTAGTACTTAATTGTTACGTAAAAAGAGTTTTCTATATTAAAAAAAGTTGCTGCAGTGACTACCACCGAGTCTCTGGCAAGAGCATTTTTGGCAAGAAAGACCGGACCATGATTTTGGTTTTAAAAATGTTTTCTTTCTCATGTATAATCAATCTCTTTCCTTACTTATGCCAATATAAAGTTTAGTAAAATCACTCCAAAGTCCCTTGTTAAGAATTTTAATCACCCAAAAATATCATAAAATGCACAAATTGCTAAGAAGTCTTAAATACTGTGCAATTATAGTTTGACAGAAATAATTACAACTTGACTTAAGTTTTCATTTTCCTTTGTTAAATTATAATTGTACAGGATTTGAGATTTAAAAATATTTTATGCATTTCATAGAATTTTAAAGTAATTAAAATTTTTGTGTGGGACTTTTCCGTAATTTTCCCTATAAAATTTTGGAAGGATAAATTTGAAAGAATAAACTTATAGTACATCTCTTTACGTGTCTATGAATCCTTTCCAAGAACAAAACAAGCCAAATAACCTTACAAGATACCGAACTATTAGTATTAATCTTATTCCATATAATGAGTTTAGTCCTCTGTGCATGGATATTTCCAGGATTGCAAGGCTTGTTAAGCTCCTTAGATGTCATTAGGTTTTCATAATTCTGAACTTCTGATATCCTAAAAAAGCTCTGCATTATGTTTTTTCATGAATGGGATGACTGATCTCTTTTGGGTGTGATCCTGTGCCTGCAAAACCTACGAGAACATGCAAGTTTTGGATCTGGAGAATCTACCACCCAGACTAGGCATTATGCTGTGCTGTTCATTCTGAGCACACTTTTATGTCCCTTATTTTTATTATTTTTATATTTCCTTAGAAACAGAGTACAATGACATGATACAATCCTTCTTCTTCTTCTTCTTCTTGTTCTTGTATTTCCTTGAAAATGATTGATGAGTTCATTATATAAATATAATACTCATCTAAGGCTTCAATCTGATTGAATTTCGACTTTATATTTGGCTTGGTTTTACATGTATTGTTGTTTGGATGCATTTCAGGGTCCATCAGGCTAAAAAGAAGGTGGAAAATTTGGCCAAACCAAGTGCTGAAAGAACAACTCATGACAATGAGATTGTTGTCGGCCAGCCCTTACTTGTGGCTCAAGAAATGCACAGCTGGTCACAAGGAATGATTACATATTCCAATGAAAATAGTCAACACATGCCAAAGAAATGGAGCAATATAATTTTAAAATTCTACGGATAAACTTTCTATTGTGTGGTCATCAGCTGGTGAGGTTTAAGTTCATAGCAGGTTCATTGGAGTGCACAAGAATCACGGACAAAAAAGTTGATAAGTTTCTATTCATGGCTGGTAATGTTTGGGGAATGGTTTGAAAGTAGTTTAGTGTTGTGTTAATGTATTAACTCGTGTTCATTTTTCAATGCTGAATGTTAAGTAGAATGGATGAGTGCATTGGATTTGGACCAAAAGTCCTATATTTATAGGCAAATTGAATGGTATTTTTTTTTTTATATTAAAGATACCACAATTTTAGTGATTGAAAGATTCCCTTGTGTACTTTAAATTAATCAGAGATAATTAAATTGACTATTCAATAATCGATTGCTGCATTCGAAAGGAACATAATAATACAAATAACATGCAAGTAAATTTGAAGGTGATTCACAAACTGTCATAGAAGAGGTTGAAGAGATGATAATTCGAATGGCATATATGATATATTACACCGACCTCTCAGAACCATGGAATCTGAATAAAATGTCAAAGCTTCTACAGAAAGGGAAGGAAACACTTGCAGGGATTGGCAAGATAACCATTGTGTGTATTTGATTTTCATTTTGTTAAAAATTCATTTAATAAAAGTTCATTTGACAAAAATCAATCTAGTGAAAGTCAGTTATTGTAATGAAATTTATATTTGGATATATTTTTTCAAAAATCAGTTTGGTACACTGAAAGTTATTTGAATTATGATAGTGAAATGTGCTTTTAAATGTACAATTAGTAAAAAAATATTGATTTATGATAATTTATAAATTTTATTATACAAATGTAATATATTTAAATTAAAATATTTAAAAAAATGTGATAAATATTTAAAATAACATAAAATTTGATTTATAACATTAAAAATTTGATCTCTAATTATTTATACTTTTTTAATTATTTATAAATTAATACTAAAAATTAACATAATTAATTATTCAATTTATAATGATAAAAACTTGATATCTAATTATTATTATTTACATGATAACTATATTTTTAATAAATTAATTATTTTTTAAATAAAAGAATAAGAAATTAAACTTGAGATAGTATGGTTAAATAAGATCTTACATTTTAAATTTATTTTTTAAAAGTAATAACATGAAACTTTTAAGAAAGCATATTTAGCTCATTCAAAAAGGACTTTTAAAAAATACAGTTAATCTTATTAAATTATACCCAAATAACTTTTCACTTTCTAAGAGTGAAAAAGTACTTTTAAAATATGAAAAGTGCAATATTCAAACAATGGCTATGGACATCTCTTGAGCTTGAGGAAAGAAAGCAATAAACATTTAAATATAAAATAAAAAATTAAGGTTCAAATCTCTGTTAATACTATATTTAATACTTAATATTATATTGAGTAAGATTGTTTTTAACAAGAAGATAGTTGTAAGTAATAAAAAAATCTATATAATTTTGAGAAAATCTCAAGAGAGCTTTTTTTTTTTTTACTAGACACACAAAGTTACTAAAAAGAGAGAAGAGGTCAGACTTAATATTTGAATTCCAACTACTTGCTAAAGCAAAGATAAAAACTTTATAACTAAGTTGCTAGATATATATTCCCTCTATTTAAAAAATATAAGATATTTTTAATCGAATTTTACCTTTCAATAAAGTAGTTACTTACTTTTAAATTAACACTATCTTTTCATATTTACCTCTATTAAATACCCTATAATAAATATAAAATTATTATCAATAGGGGCACTTTTGAAAAAATAGCAATAATTACACCTTGAAAGATTAAAAATATTTTACATCTTTGAATATTCAATTTTTTAAAAAATGTCTTACATTTTTTAACGGAGGGAGTAAAAAGTTTATATTTGAATTTCAACCACTTATTTAAATGATGAAAGTCCATATTACTTCCCTCAATTTGAGTTGATAATCTTAAAATTTTTAAAGCCATTTATACACTTTTTTTTAGTATTGTAATTAATGATAAAGAAAAATTGTAATTAACGTTTTTGTCCATTTGGACTATGGATTTATTATTTCGCATTTTTTAAAATAAAAAACTAAAACGTAATCATGCTTTAATTCAATTAATAAAATGTCAGATTTATATTATCCATAAGTAATGAATAAAATAAATGACCAAATTTAAATATTATAAAAATATATGAAAATTATATATTTCATATATTTGAATGTGCTTCTGGCATGTATATGGGTTTGTGTATGTGTATATATATATATTAAAATGTTAGCATCGAAAAGCAATGGGTTTAACTTCATTGTTGATTATGTAATGACATCAAGACAGATTAGATTTAAAATATTATTATATATTTTATTTTATATTTATTAAAATAAAATTATAAAATAATTTTAAAATTTTTTATTTTTAATCTGATTTAAATTTAATTTAAAGAGTTTAATCTAATATTAAAATTTTTGCAATTGTTATATATGAATTATTCAGATATATTCTAAACAATTTAAATACACACATATATATTAAATCTAATATTAAAATTAAATCAAAATAAGATTAAAAATAAATATTTGTTAATATTATTTTATAATTTTTATTTTAATAAATATAAAATAAAAATATATAATAATGCTTTAAATTTTCACAATCCAAATTGAAATTTAAATGATTCAGATTTCTTAACCGTGCCTGTTGTAATGAGCAGCGCAGTTAAACCAAATAACAGCATATTATAATGCGGGATCTTCATCGGCAAAGGTTTCGCAAAGATATCTTCATCAATTGGTGAGTTCCTGAGTTGCTTCTTCTCCTTTTGCATTGCCTTTAGCTTCTGGAATCCATGATTTGCTTTCTCCGCAAGACAATCCCTTTTCGAAGGCACATTTTCAACCCCATTTCTCCAGAGACGGCACTCCCAGAACTGCTTTGTCTTCATCAACAGTGGCCATCTGCGAGGTACTGTAATTCAACGCATCAAGTAGGCATTCTTTCACTGTCTTGTATCTCATTGACTCATGAGGCCTCTCACCCGAAGAAGCTGCTTCAGCTTCTAAGTGTGTCAGCTTCGAATCGCGAGAGAAGCTAGATTTGGTAATCAATTTCCTCAAGAGTCAAGGACTGTCCCAACCCCAGATTCGTCGTTTCGTTAGGGATGTCCCAAAGCTTCTTCGATCTAATCCTCAGAAAACCCTTCTGCCAAAGATTGACTTTTTCATATCCAATGGCGTTTCGAGCTCAGACATCCCTAAGCTCACATGTAGTTGCCCTATCATCATGTCGAGAAGCTTAAGTAAGCAGCTCATTCCTTCCTTTGATTTCTTTCGAGACTTGTTTAAATCTGACGTCAAATTTATTCAAGCTATCAGAAATTTCTCAGGTATTCTTCTTGATTTAAACAGCCGACCCATGCATAATATAAAGTTATTTAGAGAATCAGGAGTTCCTGAACCAAATGTTTTAAAATTGTTACAATATTTTCCCATGGTGATAACTGAAATTCATGTTTGATTTAAGGGGATTATGGAGGAAGTGAAGGAAATGGGAATTAGTCCTTTGATGATAAACTTTTGGCAGTTGCTGTATTGGCATCAGTAAGCAAATCCACATGGAGAAAAAAGGCTCATGTTTATAAGAAATGGGGCTGGTCTGAGGATGACATTCTTGCAGCATTTAGAAAGTATCCATTTATCATGAAGCCATCAGAAGAGAAGATTGATGCAGTGCTGGGTTTTCTTGTCAACAAATTGGGATGTAGATCTTCCATTATTGCTAAATATCCATGGGTTGTTGCGTTCAGTATGAATCGACGAATTTTGCCGAGAGGTGCTGTGATTGAGGTTTTGTTGTCAAAGGGTCTGGTTCAAACGAAAAGTTTGCCACTGCTATTTATGTACCCTGAAAACATCTTTCTGAGAAAGTCTATCATGTGTCATGAGAAGGAAGCTACTGAGCTATTGAAGCTGTATCAGGATAAATTGGAGCTTGCAAGGTGCATGAAGAATGGAAAGGGCTTACAGGTACGGGCATGGACTGAGATGATACAGTGGTTTAGTCTCTTCTCTTCAAAATTGGTTTGTGCATAACATTATTGATATCTATGAAATTCTATCTTGTTTGCTTTAATTTAGCTTGGACATGACCAATCAAATTAATGGAGCGTTTTCTAGGCACTCAAATTTCTTCTTGAATTGAATTTTCCTAAGTTGAACAGTGACGGGGACTTGTAGTATGGAATATCAAGTCCCATGTTGAGTAATAAGGGATTTGATATTTAAGTGAGTTGGTTCTCCTGCCTCAAAAATAAGCTTTTGGGTTAGGATTTCTCATATCACTTAAGTACCCATTAAGTGGGCTACCTACTAAGGATTTTGACTAATAAAAGACCGAGTTACATGCCATGGAGTGCAGGTGGAGACTTGTTAGTATAAAATATCAAGTGTCACATTGCATAGTATGGGATGATCAATGCATTATGTAAATAGATGTGGAATCCTATCCCATTTAGGTGTCTATCAAATATGGTCATGTATAATACAATGGCAATGTTTATTATTATTATTTTTTAAATTCTTAAAGGGAGACATTTTGGAGTTGGAAACTTGTCTTGTAAAAAGAACCATTAATTCTTTCTATGAGGTAAATTGTATATAGGACTGGAGGGAGTAGAGCTTAAATTGTCTCCTATGTCATGTGATTCATTGGACATGCTGATTAAGTATCTCCTTGATTTTCTGTTTTTTTTTTTTAAACTATCTCCTTGATTATATTAACTATGTTGCTTCCAAAAGAAATCGAAGATGATTCTGTTATATGTGCAGACATCATTTTTCAGATTTTACTGTAAAACATGTCATTTTCTCACACGACGCAGCATTATGGGAAGACATTGGATAATCTTAATGAAAAAGAGAATGGATTACACTAACCTTCTGATTCATCCATCACAAATAAATAATATTTTAGTTTCTTCCATGGCATTTCTCTACGCTGCATTACATTGTTCCATCAAGTTCAATATATTTAGCTATTCAGATTGTGTTATACATTCCATTCTGACTAAGAAAAATGCAAAAATTGCTAGCATCTTGTCATTGCTTTGTCATTTCCACCTTTTCAAGTTTCATAAATACATCCACATATTAGTCATCTTTCAAATGGTTTTTGTCATGGTAATAGAGCGTACAAGCGATTTTTGGCGACTCGTCACTTACATTACAAGCTAACTGTTCTCGTCTTTTGGCTGCCTGACGCACTAAACTCTTTGAGTCTTGACCGCATTTTTGCTTCACGCCCTTGCTCGACTGCTGTGTTAGGATTTTCTTGTCCAATTGGAAATTGATTTAACTGCAAAGAGAGTCTCTGCCATAGTGGTCTTCTAGTCACCAGGCAAAATTTGCTTGTTATTGGGGACATTCTACAGAGATTGCAAGGTAAACGATGTAGAAATTCTAGAAGGTTACAATATTGTAATTTTGAGCGTGTTTGTTGGATTTTCTACAACCAGTGTAGAATATCCTTTAGACTGCACTGATTTTTAGCCTGATGTAAAAATTGTCTTTTTTTTTTCATTGTAAAAAGTCTTTTATGTATTAGTGAGTGTGTGAGCTTTTTACTTTATGTTTTTTCATTCCATATGGTCCAATGTCAAATTAGAACATTTAATTAATTTTTGCTAGACATGTTGGGCTTTGGTGCAATCCCAAAGAATGTGAAGGATTTGAGATTAGCAGAAGCGGCTAATTCTCACAATATGATTAAAATAAGGTTTTAATTCTTGTTGGCAAGGGTATCTACATTTAATATTTGATAATGTCTCAAACAATATTGTTTCTAATATCGTAGGTAACAAAAAAAAAAAAAGGGAAATTGTAGCTGGATGGACAAATCTTTTGGCCAATTCTGGCTCCTTCTTTTTTGACAAAATTAAGTTGGAGATAGTCCCATGCAGCCTTCCAAAGGAAAATTCTAATTTTCTATGACAAAAACATAATAATATGACCTGAACATGCTAAAGACAAAAGCAAGGAATTAGCTACCTTTGAAAGAATCAAAACATTAACCAGGTGAAGAAACATATCCTTTTGAATAATTAACAAGACATCTTTATACATTTATAAATTTAATAAGAGGGTTGTAAATACGTGGCTCTATTATTTACAAGTCCTTCTAAGAAATTAACAACTATGCATTGTATGAAACGCGCGTCTGTTGTAGAAATTTGCAGAGAGAAACCTTTTGTCCTCTTCCTCCTTTTAAAAACCAAGTATCCGTAACCCAAAGACTTGTTTGGCTCAAAAAAAAAAAAACATACGGATTTGGTTTCTCTTAATTTCTCTTTGCTCTCACTTCCACCCCATTTTCTATGATAATTTTTGGATTAAATTTTCAATGGCTCGAGTTTAATATTTCACAAAATTATTGTTAAAATATAAAATTATGAAAAATAAATAAAACTAAATAGTAAGAATTTGATAGGCAAATTTACTATCATGCTGCAAAAAAAAAATTATTTTTTAAAATACTACACTTTTAAAAATATTTATCAAGATGCTACAAGTCAAAACTTAGTTTGTAAGATACTGAGTTTTTTTTTTTTTTTTTTAAGTGTCAGACATGCAAAGTAATCGGTTTCTATCAAACCAGGCTGTATACGATCAATATAAAGCATGTCAGAGTCACCCCTGACACGCACTGATACAATCAATATCATGCCTTGACTCCCCCACACCATCTACAACATTTACAAACAATTTTCCCACCCCTAACATGGACAACGCAAGTGTAATATAAATCAATAATTAAAAAATCAAATTGGTTGTACTGTTAATCAGTTCGGCTAACAGTTCAATTAATCTAAATAAAATTATTTAAATAGTTGAATAAAATTGAACCATTTTAAATTGACAGCCAAATTAAAAACTAAACTTAATTTTTAAAAATCAGGTTACCAAAAAATTAATTTTCTTTTTCTATCATTTTTTTTTAATTTTTTAATTATTTAATGTTTTATCGTAGTTTGTTAAGTTATAATAAATTTAAAATATTTAATTTTATTTTTAATTAAGTAATAATTTTATATTTATTTTTATATTTAAATTATTATATATATATATTTATATATAATTTTTTTAATTTAATTATTATATCATCGCTTCACCGTTGGTATAACCCCATGCTTCTCATCTGCCCCGCCGCGAGGGTTTGCCGTTTTCTTGCTCAAGTTTTTTGAATCCATGTTTTGCTTTCTCAGAAAACTCATTCCTTCTAGGAGGCATTTCATCAACACAGCTTCTCCTTCAACATTTCAACAATTGCTTTGCGTTGAAAATCCATCGCTACCTGCCACTGCCAGGTACTGTAATTCAATTACATTCAATGCGCATTCTTTCACTGTCTCATATCTCATTGATACATGTGGCTTCTCACCCGATCAAGCCGTTTCCGCTTCCAAGTATGTCAACTTCCAAACACGAGAAAAACCAGATTTGGTTATCAATTTCCAGAAGAATCTCGGATTCACAAAATCCCAGATTCTTCGTTTCACGAGTGAAGTCCCTCAGCTTCTTCGATCTGACCCTGAGAAAACTTTACTTCCCAAGATTGAGTTTTTCATATCCAGAGGCGTTTCGAGCTCAGACATCCCTAGGCTCTTGTGTAGTTGTCCCAACGTCATGAGAAGAAGCTTGGATCAGCAGCTCATTCCTTCCTTTGATTTCCTTGGAGATTTGTTTCAATCTGATGACAAGCTCATTAAAGCTCTTACGTGTTTCTCGGGCATTCTTCTTGATGTTAACGCCCGTGCCGTGCCCAATATGAAGCTATTAAGAGAAGTCGGAGTTCCTGAGTCAAATGTCAGAAAATTGTTGGAATGGTATCCTAGGACATTAACTAAAAACACTGGCAAATTCAAGATGATAGTGGAGGAACTTAAGGAAATGGGTTTTGATCCTTTAAAATTTCAATTTATTATGGCCATCTATGCGCTGTCATCACTAAGCAAATCTACATGGTCAAAAAAGGCTGATGTGTATAAGAAGTGGGGCTGGTCTGGCGATGACATAATTGCTGCTTTTAGAAGGTGTCCATCTTGTATGAAGGCATCTGAGGATAAAATTGACGCAATTATGGGGTTTCTTGTCTACCAATTGGGCTGTCCACCTTCCATTATTACCAAACATGCAGTGGTTTTGTCACTTAGTTTGAATAAGCGAATTGTTCCACGCGGTTCCGTCTTTCAAGTTTTGTTGTCAAAGGGTCTGGTGAAAAAGGAAAGATGGATCAAATTATTTATCTACACTGAAAGGGAATTTCTTGATAGATTTATACTGTGTCATGAGGAGGAAGCTAGTGAACTACTGAAACTATATCAGTCTAAACTTGGTCTTGCATAGTGAATGAAGAATGGAAAGATTTTGGATATGGAGTGAGATGAACCAAGTCCCTTGTCACTGCAGTTCTTTTTGTGTTTTTGCAGGATATGGTCTGGCGGAAAAGGAAAGCTTGCTCTCAATGTTTGTTATCACCGAAATGGAATCTTGAACAGATGTCTCAATGTTTGTTTTCACTGAAATGGAATCTTTGAATAAATGTATCCTGTGTCATGAGGAAGAAGAAGGTCGTGAACTGAACTCCTGAAGTTGTGTGAGGCTAAACTGGATCTTGCAAGGTGAATGAGTATCGGAAAGGTTAAGTTTTGAATATGGACTGAGATGAAGCAAGTCCCTTGTCAGTAAACTTCTTGTCTTTTGCCGTATTATCTTGTTAATTTCCTTCTCTTGTTTTTGTTTGCTTTAATTTAGCTTGAATATAATGGATCAAATCTGATCCTAATTTGATGCCAATTCCTGAGTCTAGCAAGGTTGTCTGTGATGCTATGCAATTCCTGTCATTTTGTTTCTGAGAGGAAGATATTTTGAAGTGGAAGACTTGTGCATTTTAGTTTAAAATTAAGGGAAACCATAACCATTGATCCCATAGTTTTAACATATTTTGGTACAGGTCCTATAGTGTTTTTGTTGTTGCTTCAAGTTCCTGCAGTTTATCCTGTCTACATCGTGAATCCTTCCATTTTTGAACCTGTCCAGAAAAACGTATGAGCAATGCTGTTAATCTGCTGAACAATAATTCCAACTTGTCACAGATTAACGGCATTAGTCATATGTCAGCATCATTAACACTGTTATTTGTCATCTCATTGTCTTTTTGGAGATATTAAAAAATATAGGAATTAATGTTACAGACGGGATAAACTAGAGGAATCTAGAGTAATGAAAAAAATCCTACAGAGACCTATATATATACTCCCTCTAGTCTTATTTATAAGACACCTTCTAGATGTAATTTTTGATCCAAAATATAGGACACTTTGCAATAATTAAACTACTTTTTTTAATTTTATTATTTCTTGATTAATGTGAAGGTATTTAATGTAGTTGTATCATTATTTAAAATTGAGGGTAAAAATGAAAGTACATATAATTTTTTTTATGATATAAAGAAAAAATAACTTTTCTTAAAATGCGTGAAATGGTTAAAAGTATTTTATAATAAAGATTGGAGGGGGGGTGTGTGTATCAAAACATGTTAAAACTTGTGAAGCTGCTGGCTGTTATTCATGGCCTTCACGTTTGCTGGACTTAATGGGAAACACATTGTGGATATCCAATGCAACTGCATTGAGGCCATACTTTGATCACCAAAGGCTGTGATGAGTTACACCCTTTCAAGAATATTATTGATGAAGCACGCCTTTAATACCAGAGAGATTGGAGTTTATTTATTCACTATGTTAATAGAGACTCTTAATTGTTATGTTGATTTTTTAGCTAAGTTGTCTTATAGTTTAAAGTTAATTTTTGTACCTTTGATTATCATTCACCTCTCCCCGAGAGAGGCAGACGATGAAAGTGATCGCCTTAGACCTTTGATGTTGTAATTTGTTTTTTAATTATGAATGTATTCCTTCAATAAAGAAAACACACGCCAAGCGTGGCTTCATTAAGCTCCTTGCCAGCTTTGCCTTTTGCTTTCCTTTCCTTTTTTTTTTTTAGAGAAATTCAAATTTTCTAATCCAAACGCTTTACAAAGTCAAGGTCCTGATGTGATCTTTTCGTTTGTTATTTTTTTCACAAATCAAAATTAAAATTTCAAATTTTCCTCTTATTTACTCATATTTCATTTTATCATTATCTTTCTCATAGGACTTGTTTCATACTTTTTCCTAGTGTTTGGTACGCTTGAATTGTGAAAGTGGAAATAGAAGCATAGAAGAAATCCTAAAATTGGGATGTTTGCTATACAATAATTCTTTTCCCAAGGATTTGTCAAAGATTAAAGGCTATTGTTTTAAGTTGTAAGTTCTTCCTTATTAAATTACAATTAACTTTAAAATTAAGATAATTATAGGATTAATTTAATTGGATTAGCAAGTTTGTGATATTACATAAATAGAATTTCAAGTTTTCAAATATAAAAAAATGTTTAAATATCATTTCATAAATTAAAATTAGAATAAATTTTGATTATAAAAACATAGAATATCAAAAAGGTTCAACGCATTTGCATTTTCATTGAAAACAACAATTCAACACAAAAACAGGGGAATGCGCTACAGTATACTCCAAGTTGTGCTATGCGCCATGGCACATTGCATAACATGATAGCTTCTATTGCTGTCATTTGACAATAATAAGAACAAATTTTTAACACTGTCCATTTCTCTGTCTAGTGTCTAATTTAGGTGATCTAAGTGTCTATTGAAAACTTTTTTCGAGTTCTAGCTAATGATATTAGTTTTACGTTCAAATTATTTTTCAATCAAAAGTTGGACATCTATTTTCAAACTGACTTCTTTTATATTTAAAACACAACTTAGGTGTCCCATTTTCATTCTAAGTGCTAAAAGCTTAGACTTAAACTCTAGACCACACTCAATAAACCCCAAAATACCTGTGTAACACACCACAACACATGCATAGCACATTTATATTATTTTCAATACTTAACCCCATAATAACAAAAATAAATGGGGAAGCCTCAGTTGCATCATATAGTTCACCTTCAATCACAAATATATTCACTCCTCACTTGCACTAGTATTTTGACATTTTCTCAACAACTCATAAATTCACATACATCTTAGGGTTCAAAATACACAACTTAGCTTACAATCAAATGGTGCAAGTAAGCAAAATATGTAATCTCCTAATTGGCAATATCAAAATAAGGTATACACATAATTCATAAATAAACGAGGTCTATAAATTTAGGATATCCTAAGCCTCAAATTATTTTTTTCAATCCTGTCTTGATGAGTTAGCTCTTATAATATTGAAGAAAGAGGAGTAAATATAACTACTCAGTAACCAAAATATATCTAATATATACTAAGGCATGTTAATTAATTAGAATGCAAGTGATAACTCATTGTCATCCTCATGTTACATTATCAATCACAAGGCATATTTTCACATGTTATATCACAAATCATATATATTCATGTATTTTCATCATGATAGCTATAATATAGACAATTATGTGCCCTTAATTATAATATGCATAATCACACCTCTCTTTATAACCTCTTTATGCCTCTAACATCAAACCGTGGACTATTATATAATGGATTTGTCTATTTGATGAGACTACCTTAACCTTTCATGTATGAGAAGCTATTTAGCTAAGGTTATTTAACTCATTTGTAGGTTATGGTTTCCTCCAAATCTTACACTATAGAGCGTTGTTCTTCCTAAACTAGCTTCCTCATTGAAAATGCAGAAAACTAGATTAGGTTTAGGTTCCTCAATAAAAATATGGGACAGTCGCTCATTGAACACGTAGGACAAATAAGATATAAATATGTTAAGGCAAGTTATCGAGCTTTAAATGGCTGCTAAACCATGTGATTTTTAAACTCACTTCTCCTCTTCCGGTGAATTCCCACATCACAAGTTCATGTAATGCATAAGCATAAAGTTCATAACATGCATATGACTTAACATATTTAACATGCCAAATAACTTCATTGCACTCTAAACATCCTCATTTCATAATTTATAATGGAACTCCACATCATATAATATTATTGAACTCCATATCTAATATTCCTCTCACTATTCATAACATATACTAATTTTATATCTCATCTCATTATTTGTAATATAAGTTATTCATTGTATCACAATAATCCACCCACTTCACATTTCATAATACAATCAATCTCTAAACAATTTCATCAGTTATCATTGTCGCATGCCACACTTGGATTATAAACACACAAATTCATCAATATTATTTTACAAATTACCATAGTAGTTGTTAATCAAAGTAACTAGTTAACATACAAATTTTTTCATGTTACTTTAAACTTTTGAGAGATCAAATGTTCACCCCTCAAACAAATCCTTCTAAAATTATTCGAAGTTTGAATAATGCCAAATTGTGATTAGTCCACATTTATTCACATCAACAATTGTTAATATCTTCATTAGGATAATTCCTAACATCATATTCAACACTTCAAAAACTTCAAAAGTTCTAATTCTTCATGTACAAGGATACACAAGGGTTTATTGGCTTCATTTCACTCACATTAGTTTCAATAAACAATCTAACCATCATTAATAGCTATTAAATACTCCCAACAACCTCCATAATTGCTAATTTTGGGGATTTATTATCCTACAATTATCAAAACTCACAAAACTATAAACGATATGTTTGAATAATCTAAACAATTCTATTAATTTGTTTAAGTCAATAGTTCAGACTCATAGCTCCATAAGTTTGAAAATTCATTTTTCTAGAAAACTCTAATTTCTAAACTCAAGAAAATGGAAGAGGAAGGAGGATTTAGGCTTAAAAAACTTGTCTTTAATGTAGACAATATTCTAATTAAATAGCTTTAATAGAGCTCCTTTATATTCTTTCCCTCTCATCAAATCTCTTTTTTTTTTCTATTTTCTTATTTCAATATGATAAATCTAATTTTACCATGTGGTGCGGCCAAATGGCTATAGACGTGTCACAAAATGGGCTTCCTCATTGAAATGCAAATAGCTTAGGACTTGGTTGTGGTGGAAAAAGGAGTCCTCACTGAACATAGGACAAATGATATCCATAGCGTTGGCAAGTACGACTTTTCCCTTAACCATGGATTTTAACTATTCCCCTTCCTTTAATCCCCTTTAACATTTTCTAATAAATTTTAATTGTTAACATATTCTTTGATAATTAGGGGGTTAAAATCCTGATTTCATGGGTTTTAATGAACTCCAATAACCAAAATTGAACAATTAAACCACCTTATTTTACATCATTATAACCAGACTAATGAAAATTATGAGTTAATTATCCTAATAAAATTTATAAAAATGAGTTAAAAATCATTAGTTATCATTGTCGCATGCCACACTTGGATTATAAACACACAAATTCATCAATTATTATTTTACAAATTACCATAGTAGTTGTTAATCAAGTAACTAGTTAACATACAAATTTTTTCATGTTACTTTAAACTTTGAGAGATCAAATGTTCACCCCTCAAACAAATCCTTCTAAAATTATTCGAAGTTTGAATAATGCCAAATTGTGATTAGTCCACATTTATTCACATCAACAATTGTTAATATCTTCATTAGGATAATTCCTAACATCATATTCAACACTTCAAAAACTTCAAAAGTTCTAATTCTTCAATACAAGGATACACAAAGGGTTTATTGGCTTCATTTCACTCACATTAGTTTCAATAAACAATCTAACCATCATTAATAGCTATTAAATACTCCCAACAACCTCCATAATTGCTAATTTTGGGATATTTATTATCCTACAATTATCAAAACTCACAAACCATAAACGATATGTTTGAATAATCTAAACAATTTCTATTAATTTTGTTTAAGTCAATCAAAAATTCAGACTCATAGCTCCATAAGTTTGAAAATTCATTTTTCTAGAAACCTCTAATTTCTAAACTCAAGAAAATGGAAGAGGAAGGAGGATTTAGGCTTAAAAACTTGTCTTTAATGTTAGAAGCTTTAAAATACTACTTCTATACTTCAAAACCTCAAGCTCTAATAGAGCTCCTTAATATTCTCCTTCCCTCTCATTCAAATTCTCTTTTTTTTTCTTATTTTCTTATTCAAATCACATATGATAAATCTAAATTCTAGCCATGTGTTGCGGCACACAATGGCTATGTCATGACGTGTGGCACAAAATGGGCCATGTGCCTCGACATATGGCATAGATGCCACAATCACGCTTGAAGGACTCGTGTGTTGTGGTGGAATGTACAAGGAGTCCCTCCCTCACTGATTTAGCATCATGCGCCATTGCAAATGATATCCATGCTGCAGCGCTTGGCAGAGTCACACGTTACTATTTTTCCCTTAGACTCGACTTTCGGATCCAATTCTAAAACTATATCCAAACCCGAATGGTCCTTTAATCCCCTTTAACTATTTTCTAATTAAATTTTTAATCAATATAAACTTATTTTTGATTAATTAGGGGGTTAAACCGTGATGTTACATGGGTGGTTTAATTGAATCATGGCCAAATTAACCAAAACTTGAACAAATTAAAAAGAACCAAACCGGTTAATTTTAGCATCATTATAACCAAACTAAAATGGGAAAATTACAATGAGGTTAAAAAGAGTTAGTTCCTAGATAAAATTTTATGAAAAATGAGTTAAAAAAATCAATTTAGACAGACTTAAATTTAAAAAAATTTAATTGCAAATTCGGCAGTCGAGATTTAAATATAACTCCTATATTGTGACTGAACTTTTCATTTATAGTAGTTTGAATTGGTATTTTTAACACATATTTTAAAAAATAGGTTAAACATTTAGTTGTCATCAATTCAATTTCTTGCGATTTAATTGTCATTTTTCTAACTAAAAATCTCGCTTATTGTTATGCATTATCAATTAGATTGGGGATCAATTTAATTAAATCAAGTTTTGTCCGGTACTGCTACCTTAAAAATTGCTAATTTCTTATTTTAATTTTTCTCATTATTAAATATTTTTAAAATTTAGATCAATTTTTTTTTTGTAGGAAATTAATATGTTCAAGGAAAAGTTGCTTAAAAAAAATTGGTGAATGAGGACTTTTAAGCAATTTTTCTTTAAAGACAAGAAGCAACGTTTTCGTCTTCCACAATTACACATTTACTGGTCTGATCTGCCCGGCGCGAGGGTTTGCCGTTTGCTTGCTCAAGTTTTTTGAATCCATGTTTTGCTTTCTCAGAAAAATCATCGCTTCTCGGAGGCATATCATCAACACACAATCGCCTTTAACATTTCAACAATCACTTTGCGTTCAAAACCAATGCTACCTACTGCCACTGCCAGGTACTGTAATTCAATTACGTTAAATGGGCATTCTTTCATTTCACTGTCTCATATCTCATTGATACATGTGGCTTCTCACCCGAAGAAGCTGTTTCAGCTTCTAAGTCTGTCAGCTTCAAAACACGAGAAAAACCAGATTTGGTTATCAATTTTCTTGAAGAATCTAGGATTCTCGCAATCCCAGATTCTTCATTTCACGAAACGACTCCCACAGTGTCTTCGATCTGACCCTGAGAAAACCTTAGTGCCGAAGATTGAGTTTTTCATATCCAGAGGCGTTTCCCGCTCAGACATCCCTAGGCTCTTGTGTAGTTGTCCTAACGTTATGAAAAGAAGCTTGGATAAGCAGCTCATTCCTTCCTTTGATTTCCTTGGAGATTTGTTTCAATCTGATGACAAGCTCATTAAAGCTCTTACATGTTTCTCGGGCATTCTTCTTGATATTAACGCCCGTGCCGTGCCCAATATGAAGCTATTAGAGAAGTCGGAGTTCCTGAGTCAAATGTCAGAAAATTGTTGCAATTGTATCCTAGGACATTAACTGAAAGTACTGGCAAATTCACGAGGATAGTGGACGAACTTCAGAAAATGGGGTTTAATCCTTTAAGAATTAAATTTGTTCTGGGACTTATGCTTTGTCATCACTAAGCAAAAGTACATGGGCAACAAAGGCTAATTTGTATAAAAAATGGGGCTGGTCTGACAATGAATTCTTGCTGCTTTTAGAAGGCTCATTTTGTATGATGAAGATATCTGAGGATAAAATTGATGCAATAATGGAGATTCTTTGTGACAACAAATTGGATTGTCTGCCTTCAACTGTTCCCAAATATGCAGTGGTTCTAACAATGAGTTTGAATAAACGAATTGTTCCACGGGCTTATGTCATGCAAGTTTTGTTGTCAAAGGGTCTGATGAAAAAGAAAAGCTTGCTCAAAATGCTTGTCCGTACTGAAAGCGAATTTTTGAACAGATGTATCCAGTGTCATGTGGAGGAAGCTAGTGAACTCTTGAAGCTGTATCATTCTAAACTTAATCTTGCAAGGTGAATGAGGATTGGAAATGTTAAGTTTTGGATTTGGTTTTGGGCTGAGATGATGTAAGTTTCTTCTTCTCGTCTTTTGCTGTATTACCTTGTTTTTTTCTCTCTCTCTTATGATTTGCTTTGATTCAGCTTACTATGATGAATGAAATCTATCAACGGTTGTCTATAAACTTTAATTTCTCTTATCTGAATTTGATCCCAACTCCTGAGTTTAACAAGGTCATCTGCGAAGCTATGCAATGTTTCTGTCCCTTTTTATTTCTTAGATGAAGGTATTTTGAAGTAGAAGTAAAGAGAAGAAACTACAAAAAGCTTACTTTACTGTTGTAATTTCCACATATCATGTAAATTGCATCAGGAATGAGAGAAAGACAGAATAGAAAGACAGAATTATAGAATACATTGAAACAACAATATGCGAGTCTTCTTCAATGTTTCAATTCCTCTCAAGAATAAAATTTAGCCAAATACACACCAAAAGATATCAAACATTATGTAGCATGATTTGCTTGGTTTCTTATATGGCTATTCATTGTTCACCTTTGTTTGTGGTGTTAAAATTGGACACACTTGAGGATGTTAATGTGGTGAATGAGACAGCACTATATTTAGCAAAAGTTATATAAATTGTAGTATTACTACGTGTAGCTTGTATCAAGCACCTGACCCTTGAAGTCCAGCGAGTTTACTAAAGAAATACAATTGTTCTGAGTGACAAGTTTAGTTTTTGACCCTGTGATTGACATTATTGATCTCTCTAATTATGAATTATCAGCATTGACACATCTTGCTGAGTTTGAGCTTATGCTGTTATTGATAGGCTCTTTTCTTCAGTATCATTCCTTGGGGGATAAGATGAGTGATGTTTGTTGATAAAAGTCAAATGCAATGCAGGCATGACCTCTGGTTTTAGGGAGCTGCCATTAATACCTGATAAAATTCACCAGTGTCATGTAATCTTTTTTATCTCTGGTTGTTTTGTAACATATACAATCAAAGAATGATTAGTTGATTACGCACATATTTGCTTTATGATGCTTCCTAAAGCCTTTCACCACCAGCATGTTGTCAATGATCTAATAACTTGAATAAGCCTCAACCTTGTGTCAGTGGAAATAGAATATGCAAGGGTGTCAATGATCAAGGTTGCCTCCATATTTGTGGGTTCTAGCCTCTGCAAGTTCACACAAAATCGGATAAGTTCAATCTTCTAGGTGTTCAAATTGAGATCTGCTACCTTTTGTTAGATCTTTATTCAACTTAGAACCAGCACTATGTTCAAAATTCAAGTGAGTAAAAATTTCTAATGCTTTGAATTTCATCTTGCTTCTTCTGGTGGATTATCATTTTCAAGCAGATTACTTCCTAATGAATCAATGCTTGAGAATCATATGCATCAAGAAAACAGAAAATCTCCAGAAGTTTCAGTGGCACGAAGGAGTAACATCTTCGTCTTATTACTGATGAAGCTGGTTGAGGTAGCATTATTCCAGATGAAGTCAAACCTGAGATAATCGAGGCTTCTCGAGTATGTATGATGAAGCTCGAATTTAATTTTCCATACCCTTTTCTCCAAGTGTAGTTTCTTTCTTAAGGATGCTTTGCTTTGGCCATGTTATGATGCTGGTTTTCCTGAAACATGAGAGAGGATTTTTTTCCCTCTTCTTGTTAGTAAAAGAGAAATATATAATCATGTCGAATTATTATTACTTTCTATTGTTGTTATTTAATAATATAAAATAGTTTTGAACTATGATTTTTTTAAAAAAAAAAAATTCTGTAAGCATTTGTTAAGTTCAGCCTTATCTTATTTGAAATGAAAGTTATTAAAATTAGAAATTGTAAAATTTAAACCAATTGAAGTACTCTCCCCGTTAAAAAATATAAGGTATTTTTTAACAGAATTTCACCCTCAATAAAATATTTATATATTTTTAAATTAATTTTATTTTTTCATATTTATCCCTGTTAAATACTCTACAATAAATATAAAGTCATTATCAATAAGAGTACTTTTGAAAAAAAATAATGACTACACCCTCAAAAGATTAAAAATGCTTTATATTTTTAACATTTAATTTTTTAAAAATGTTTTATATTTTTTAACAAAGGAAGTATATTTTAAATTCATTGTAATATAAGGGAATCACCACCAAAAGGGTATTATTTGAAGAGATTTGAGAAAAAGAAATATGCATGAAAAATTGAAGTTATAAATAGTAAAAATTGCAATCTTTTTTTTTTTTTTAATATGAAGTATGGGTTAATAAACTGCATATGATTTTTTTTAACAATTTGTTTGAATTATTTCAAAAATTGTAAGTTAAACACGATTGTTGTGACTCGTGAGCATGGTGGTCCTCTAATCAATGTTGGGACCTTGGGGTATTTTTATTTCTAATGACTATGACAATTATTTTTTGTGCTAATGACACTTAAATCTTAAAATATTAACTAATGATAATGAAGCATAAATTTTTCAGAAAAATATAGTACAAATACATTCATTCAAATAATTGCTAATATAAAAATAAATTAATTACAAATCATATTGACGATAAATTTTAATATTTGAGATAATTTTGACATATGACACTTAAATGCCTAATTTACATTTAATATTGTCATATTTATGATTATCTAAATTTATATTGAAAATATAATTTTAATATGTGAGATTATTTTGAGAGAAAACAATTAGATGTTATTTCGATGGGTCATCCGAGCTGGATATGCCTTCACAAGTTTAAAAAACATCTATTATCCACCATTAAAATCTCCACCATTTAGTATTACAGTTCTCAAATAAGATTGTTTTTAAAAAAGAGCATACATATAAATAATTTAAAAAAATCTTGTGCATATCATTTAACAATGACATCTTTATCAAGATATCATTGATTTTGGTTAGAAAAAAAAATCAAATATCATTGACAACTAGCCTGATGTTATAACTTGTAAAAGTTTTTAGTAATTCTTCGGTTAGATTTGTCAGAGGTTCCTATAATGATAAAGACCTTGATTCTCCAAACCAGATCCAAGTTGTATCTTCTCCACTGTGTCATATTGCATTTCCTCCGACGATTTTAATAGGTTTTTTTTCTCTAGGGTGCTTTTAGGAACAGTTTTGTATTGTCTAGTTTTTATAATTTTACCTGTATCTTTATCATATTTATCCTTTATATCAATATAAAAAATCTATCAAATTATAATGAACAGTACTATATAAAATTTGATAAATATTGTTACCAATAAAAAATCTATATAAATTTATCAAAATAGACATTCTGTGTATTTGACTTTTAAATAATACTCTAATTTGTGCTCTTCATTCTTCACTAATTAGAGATCAAACTACACATTACATAATGAATAATTAATTGTGTTAATTTTTAATATTATTATATTTTAACCTATTTAATTCATCAAATTTTATGTTTTTAAAAACGCATTATTTAACCTATCAAATTTATGTTATTTAACATTTGTATGATATATATTTTTTGAAATATTTATAATATAAAACATTTTTATAACGTAAATTACAAATCGTAAATATTAATATCCATTTTGATAATCATACATTATTTAAAAGTATTTCTCAGTAGTTCAAAAAAAATTTAATTTATTAAGTTAATTTTTAAAAATATGCATCCCAACATAAAGTTTATTAAAATAATACTTTTTATTAAATTGCTTTTTGGTTAACGGAAATCAAACATGCCCCAACCCCAACTCCAAGTCGAAAATAAAAAAGAAAAAAGAAAAAACCCACTTTTGTTAACGTTTACGACTGACCTGTCATTCTCCTATTTTCTTTTGAATTTTCTTTTGGAAGGACTTTTATTTTCAGGCCTAGAAGCTGTCTTCGTGTTATACTGGTACTACTGCCACGACTCCGAGCGAGGGTTTTTCCTTCCTCCCAAGTTTCTTGAATCCATGTTTTCCATTCTCGGGAAATCATCCCTTCTCGGAGGCATATCGTCAACGCAATCTCTCCTTCAGCATCTCAACAATTGCATCGTGTTCGAAACGAATGGCTACTTGCCACTGCCAGCCAGGTACTGTAATTCAACTACATTAAATGGGCATTCTTTCACTTTCTCATATCTCATTGATACATGTGGCTTCTCACCAGATCAAGCTGTTTCAGCTTCCAAGTATGTCAGCTTCCAAACACGAGAAAAACCAGATTTGGTTATCAATTTCCTGAAGAATCTCGGATTCACAAAATCCCAGATTCTTCGTTTCACGAGTGAAGTCCCACAGTGTCTTCGATCTGTCCCTGAGAAAACCTTACTGCCGAAGATTGAGTTTTTCATATCCAGAGGCGTTTCCCGCTCAGACATCCCTAGGCTCTTGTGTAGTTGTCCTAACGTTATGAAAAGAAGCTTGGATAAGCAGCTCATTCCCTTCCTTTGATTTCTTCCGAGATTTGTTTCAATCTGATGACACGCTCGTTAAAGCTCTTACGCATTGCTCTGGCATTCTTCTTGATATTAAAACCCATGCCGTGCCCAATATGAAGCTATTAAGGCAAGTCGGAGTTCCTGAAGCAAATGTCGGCAAATTGTTGCAATGGTATCCTAGGACAATTACTAAAAGTGCTGGAAAATTCAAGGTGATAGTGGAGGAACTTCAGGAAATGAAGTTTGATCCTTTCAAAGTTCAATTTATTATGGCTGTCTTTGCTTTGTCGTCACTAAGCAAATCTACATGGTCAAAAAAGGTTGATGTGTATAAGAAGTGGGGCTGGTCTGACAATGACATTATTGCTGCTTTTAGAAAGTCTCCATTTTGTATGAAGTCATCTGAAGATAAAATTGATGCTATATTGGAGATTCTTGTTGATAAATTGGACTGTTCGCCTTCCACTATTTCCAATTATGCTGTAATTCTGACATCGAATTTGAATAAGCGAGTTGTTCCTCGGGCTTCTGTCATTCAAATGTTGTTGTCAAAGGGTCTGATGAAAAAGAAGAGCATGCTCTCAATGTTTGTCTGCACTGAAAGGGATTTTTTGAATAAATTTATCCTGTGTCATAAGGAGGAAGCTAGTGAACTCCTGAAGCTGTATGAGTCTAAACTAAACTGAATCTTGCAAGGTGAATGAAAAATGGAAAGGTTAAGTTATGGATTTGGGCTATTCACCAAAAAAAAAAATGTTATGGATTTGGGCTGAGATGATGCAAGCCCCTTGTCATTACATTTCTTTTGTCGTATGATGCATTACCTTGTTAATTTCTCTTGAGCATGACGGATCAAATCTGTTGATGGTTGTCTAAAAACTGAAATTTCTCTGCCATTTGAATTTGGTCCCAATTCCTGCGTTTAACAAGGTTATTTGTGATGCTATGCAGTTTTTTTTTTTTTTTTTTTGTTTCTTAGGGGAATAAATTTTGAAGTAGAAGGAAATAGTAGAAAGTGGAAACTGCAAAAGCTTACCTTAATGCTGTAACTCCTACATACCATGTAAATTGCCTTGTGATAGAAAACAGTAGAAAAATTCATTTAAAAAAAGGGAAAAACATAGCTTTTGGTCCCTGTATTTTGATCACGTTTGCTTTTGGTCCTTGTATTTTTTTCGGTGTTTTAGGTTTGCTTTTGGTCCCTGTATTTTTCCCCGATGTTTTAGGTTCTTACACTTTTGTTTTTCATTATTTTTAATCCCTTCATAAACAAAGTATAAGGACATTGGAGGGATTCAAAATAATGAAAAATAAAAGTATAGGGACTTAAAACATCGAAAATAAGTATAGGATCAAAGTAAAATGCGAGTAAACTATAGGGACCAAAAGCTATGTTTCCCAAAAAAAGAAAAAGAAAACATTAGAAAAAATAATTATAGAATACATTGAAATAATAACATTCATGTCTATTTAATTGTCTTAAAATCCCTCTCAAGATTAAGATTAGCTAACCACACACCAAAAGACATCAAACAGTATGTTGCATGAATTGCTTGGTTTATATACATGGTGTTTCGTCATCGTTCTCTGTGGTAATGGTGTTGAAAATTGGACACACGAGGCTGTTAATGTAGTAGCATGAAACAAAACTACGTTTTAGCAAGATTAAATGGCTTGTATCAAGCACTTGATTCTTGAACACCAGTGAGTTCAATAAGGATATGAAATTGATTTGTTGTTGACATTGTTATTTGTCTCTTTAATTACGAATTATCATCAATGACATGATCCTGCTGAATTTATGCTGTTTTGTTAATTGGCTGTTCGCCGGTATATTTCCTTTTGGGGATAAAATGAGGGATGTCTGTTGGATAGAGTTGAATGCAATGAAAACATCTGAGAGTAAGGAGTTGCCAGTAATACCTGGCAAATTTCACCACTATGATCTTCTTTGCCTCGTTGTTTAATGTCATGGAACATATGATAGAAAGGAATGATTACACCTATTGCTCTATGATGCTACATAAAACCTTTCACCAGCTTGCTGTCAATGATCTCAAGCTTAAATATGCCCAAACCTATGAAGAAGGCTTTCAGAGTGGTGTCAGTGGAGGCAAAGCAAGCAAGGATTTGTTATGAAGAAATTCTTGCTGTGAAGGGAAGGACCAAGAGTGAGAGTTCCAATTGGGTCCACTTGTTTGATGGCAGACAAAGGCAAAAAATGTTTCAAAGTGGCCAACATTAATGAGAATGGAGGAAGCTCGTTGAGGAGTCATGCTTCTTGATGGGGTCAGACTGAAACCATAACCATCTCAGTTAGTTATGATAAGATAATGCTCAATCTCTTGTAACAATGGTTTTGTCTGTCTTAAGCTGGACATGCACAGTTTAGCCCACGATTTAGGCTGCCCAAACTTGCTTGAGAGTTGACAAATTTCAAATTTCAATGCCCTTTAAGGCAAATTAAAATGTTGTTTAATAAATAAGCTTGGCTTTTCCTCATCTTAGAACATGGCCTTACTGATGAATCTTGTTCAGGTCATGGATGAACTTGTAAGCATCTCACAAGACTTTTGAGTTGGAAGTTGGTGCTACTTCCTCGCAGTTATTCTTGAATCCTTATTGTTAAATTTGCAAACTTGTAATTTGTCTGTTTGTGTTTGATGTAGGTCAATAGGAATTAAAGCTTATGAAGAGTAAAGGTCCATTCTCAAGAAGCAAGAACAACGAGCAAAAATGTAGTTTTGTCTCGGGTGCTTTAAAAGTCATACTTCACCTGACTCTGTTGAAGGAATTAATCTCATCAACAGGAACAACGACCACCATATTTTTCAAGATATTATTCAACATGCTTGTAATATTATGAACAGAAACTGGTTTATTTAAATTAATTTTGTGTACTGAGATGTAATTAGCACTGGGATTAATTCCTATTTTTTCATCCTTGGGCCTTAGCTAGAAAGCACATAAACTTTTAGAATAATTTTTGCGTCTTTAATCATTTCCTATTTTTAATTTAAAAATGAGGTGAATGATGGAAGATAGTCTTGTGGAGGTGTCGGTATCTTATTTTGAGAAAATTACAGTTCAGGTACCACACAATCAATTTAAATATAAAAGATCATCTTAAAATTACTTCAAAGTCATGTATTTTGTTGAAATTGTCAATTTGCTGTATTAAAATATTGTTAGATAATTTGTACCAAAAAATATATATTAGATAATTGTTAGTGAATTGTTCATAAATTTTTTTATATTCAAGATTATTTGTGTTGGACATGGCAATTTTGTTGCTGTTGTGTCTTGTAAGTTGTAACGTTCCTTTTTTGGGCCAAAGTTATTGTTCATAGAACTTTTATGTATTTAGATTTGTGTGAGCTTTTGTCCAAAAAAAAAAAAGATTATTTGTGTGAGAATACAATAATCTTCCTCTCTTTTTTTCTGGTTGTATCTCATAGAGAGAATGGTAAATAAATCAATAAGGATATGAAATTGATTTGTTGTTGACATTGTTATTTGTCTCTTTAATTACGAATTATCGTCAATGACATGATCCTGCTGAATTTATGCTGTTGTTAATTGGCTGTTCGCCGGTATAATTTCCTTTTGGGGATAAAATGAGGGATGTCTGTTGGATAGAGTTAAATGCAATGAAACATCTGAGAGTAAGGAGTTGCCAGTAATACCTGGCAAATTTCACCACCACTATGATCTTCTTTGCCTCTGGTTGTTAGTGTCATGGAACATATGATAGAAAGGAATGATTGCACCTATTGCTCTATGATGCTACATAAAACCTTTCACCAGCTTGCTGTCAATGATCTCAAGCTTAAATATGCCCAAACCTATGAAGAAGGCTTTCAGAGTGGTGTCAGTGGAGGCAAAGCAAGCAAGGATTTGTTATGAAGATTCTTGCTGTGAAGGGAAGGACCAAGAGTGAGAGTTCCAATTGGGTCCACTTGTTTGATGGCAGACAAAGGCAAAAAATGTTTCAAAGTGGCCAACATTAATGAGAATGGAGGAAGCTCGTTGAGGAGTCATGCTTCTTGATGGGGTCAGACTGAAACCATAACCATCTCAGTTAGTTATGCTAAGATAATGCTCAATCTCTTGTAACAATGGTTTTGTCTGTCTTAAGCTGGACATGCACTGTTTAGCCCACGATTTAGGCTGCCCAAACTTGCTTGAGAGTTGACAAATTTCAAATTTCAATGTCCTTTAAGGAAAATTCAAATGTTGTTTAATAAATAAGCTTGGCTTTTCCTCATCTTAGAACATGGCCCTTACTGATGAATCTTGTTCAGGTCATGGATGAACTTGTAAGCATCTCACAAGACTTTTGTGTTTGGAAGTTGGTGCTACTTCCTGGCAGTTATTCTTGAATCATTATTGTTAAATTTGCTAACTTGTAATTTGTCTGTGTGATTCATGTAGGACAATTGGAATTAAAGCTTATGAAGAGTAAAGGTCCATTCTCAAGAAGCAAGAACAACGAGCAAAAACGTAGTTTTGTCTCGGGTGATTTAAAAGTTATACTTCACCTGATTGTGTTGAAGGAATTAATCTCATCAACAGGAACAACGACCACCATATTTTTCAAGATGTTATTCAACATGCTTGTAATATTGTGAACAGAAACTGGTTTATTTCAATTGATTTTGTGTACAGAGATGTAATTAGCACTGGGATTAATTCCTATTTTTTCATCCTTGGGCCTTGGCTAGAAAGCACATAAACTTTTAGAATAATTTTTGCGTCTTTTAATTTTAAAACGAGGTGAATGATGGAAGATGGTCTTGTGGAGGTATCGGTATCTTATTTTGAGAAAATCACAGTTCAGGTACCACACAATCAAGTTAAATATAAAAATTATCTTAAAATTACTTCAAAGTCATGTATTTTGTTGACATTGTCAATTTTCTGTATTAAAATATTGTTAGATAATTGTACCAAAAAAAATATATTAGATAATTGTTAGTGAAATTGTTCATAATTTTTTTTATATTTAAGATTATTTATGTTGGACAGGCAATTTTTTTGTTGTTGTGTCTTTGTAAGTTGTAACGTTCTCTTTTGGCTAAAGCTATTGTTTGAAACTTTTATATATTTAGATTATTTGTGTGAGCTTTTGTCAAAAAAAAAAAAAAGATTATCTGTGTGAGAATACAAATAATCTTCCTCTCTTTTTTTCTGTTGTATCTCATAGAGAGATGGTAAATAAATCAACATCCAAATAATAAATGCCAGATGACAACAAAGTAGGGTAATTATTTTTGAAATTTATAGGGAGTAATGATTTACTCCTCCGGTCCTATTTACAATCATTTTTACCAACCTCATCAATACCAATGCAATAAAAGTAAGTAAAAATTTTCAAACATGCCCCTATATAACAAATCTAAAAATAATGTCCTGTTACTTTTTTCTCTCTCATAAAGGGTAATTTTGAAAATACCTCTCAAATATTACCTAAAAAGACGCACATGACTTATAAATGGGATTAAATACACCTTTTAAAATGAGACTTATAAATGAGACTAGAGGGAGTATGTGATACTAATTTTTAATAAAATGGTCAGAATATTCTAAAAATAATAAGAAGCTTTTGTAGGTATATTTTTTTTGGCCCAATTCACAATATAATTCATATTGTAGAATCAAATAAGCAAATAGCGCTGATATTTATTATATTTGTTAATAATATATCGTTATATATTAATGATAAATCCTTTATAAATTTTAAAATTTTAATAATAAATTTTTTAAAATTAATGATAAATTCATTATATATTAATGTGAACCAGCCATACTCAAAAATTTTCAAACATTTAATTCTATATTTTCTAAATACAAGATTTTTTTGAGCTAATAGGCCAATTTATCTAATAAAAATAAATAAAAACTTCAAAATAATAAATGATTACTTATATTAAAGAGTGATTACAAATTAATATATTGTGTGAAATGATTACTTCTATTTCTCAATATTAATAAAATGAAATTAAAAAATAATAGTAATTTTTTATATTATTTTAATTATTAATTTAATGAAAGTAATCTTTGAAATTGTCATTTATTTTTTTGAAGTATTATAGTCATTTCGTGAAAAGCTATAACGTCAAATAAGTCTAAATTAACGTCAAATAAGTCTAAATTTTTTTAAAAGTAATTACCTTATTTTGTGCCCTTCTTTTGTCATTTATCTTCTCGAGTGAGATTTATTTTTCGTTTTTTCATTGCCCTTCTCTCGTAAGTTGTAAGTTGTTTTTTTTCTTTTTTTTTTAAATACAACTTTATTCTTCAGTTAAATTAAATGAAAGGAGTCTGGCACTTAAGCATCATGTCAGACTTCAATTTTTAAAGACGTATATAAAAAAACATTATTTAAAAGAGACAAATTTTTAAAATAGTATTTAAATTTTTTGAGAAATTAATTTTACAATTGTTAATTGTGAGATACTTGATAATAATGAATAAAAAAGATTGAGCTTTACTTCAAAAAATAAAAATAAAATAAAAGGGCCATGTCCGGCTTCTCGGCTTTCACGGGGAGGGGTGCACTTGACCTTCCTCTGTTTAAGGGTTTCCTTTGAGCTGCCTGTCGGAATACATGTCTCGTTTTCTCAGCCGAGCGGTCTCGTTTCGGAGGCGCATTATCAACGCAACATCTCCTTCAACGTTTCAATATCTGCTTTGTGTTCAAAGCCAATGGTTTTCTGTAAGGTATGCTAATTCAATCGCGTCAGATGGCCGTTCTTTCACTGCCTCATATCTCATTGACACATGTGGCTTCTCACCCAAACAAGCTGAAGCAGCTTCTATGCGTGTCAGCTTCGAAACGCGAAAAAGGCCAGATTTGGTTATCAATTTCCTGAAAAGTCATGGATTCTCGCGGCCGTTGATTCTTCGTCTCATTCGAAAGGCCCCATGGTTTCTTCGATCTGATCCTGAGAAAACCTTTCTTCCCAGGATTGAATTTTTCAAATCCAGAGGTGTTTCGAGCTCACACATCTCTAAGCTTATTTTTAATTGTCCTAACATCATGAGAAGAAGCTTAAGTAATCAACTCATTCCTTCTTTTGATTTCTTTCGAGATTTGTTTCAATCTGATGAGAATGTCATTAAAGCTCTAGAACATTGCTCGGGCATTTTTTCTGGTACTAGAACCTCTGCCGCGCCAAAAATAGAGATATTGCGAGAAGCAGGAGTTCCTCAATCAAATATCATCAAATATTTGCAATTTTACTCTAGAACATTTACTTCTTCTCGTCCTGGTCGAATTAAGAAGATTGTGGAGGAAGTGAAAGAACTTGGTTTTGATCCTTTGAAGCTTCAATTTCTTGTAGCTGTTCATGTATGCTTATGCTTAAAAAAATCCACACTGGCTAAAAAGGCTGATGTTTATAAGAAGTGGGGTTTTTCTGACCATGACATTCTCACGGTGTTTAGAAAGCATCCTTTGTGTATGGCAATATCAGTGGATAAAATTGATGCAGCAATGGATTTTTTTGTGAATAAATTGGGCTGTGATTCTTCCACTCTTAGCAAATATCCTGCAGTTATTACATTGAGCTTGGAAAAGCGAATTGTTCCACGTGGCGTTGTCATTCAAGTTCTATTGTCAAAGGGTCTGGTGAAAAAGAAGACATTACTTCGAATACTTAAATTAACTGAAAAGGACTTTTTAAGGAGGTTTGTCCTTTGTCATGAGCACGAAGCAAGTGAATTGTTGGAGTTGTATCAGTCTAAACTGGATCTTACAAGGAAAATGAATCGTTGAATACTGGCAAGGTTTTAAGGTATGGATATAGACTATAAATGTAGAAATTGTAGAGCTTTCTTCTCCCTACATCTCTTTGATGCATTACAATATTAACTTTCATGTTTGCTCTAATTTTGCCTGGACAGGACAGGACCTATGAATCAAAACTAATGTTATGTCTGTGAATGAAAGTTTTTCTGCCTAAATCGATCTCTGTAAAGTTATATAGTTTATATTAAAAAAAATGTTGTGCTTAGCTCAAAAAAGTATAGTGTTCATTATGCTTATATTGAAGGATTAGATGACAAGCGACATAATAATTGTCCCCATAAAAAACAACGGTTTAAGCTTTCTGTTGATGCGTTGGCTGGTAACTACAGATTAGTGGTTTTGATGTTAAGTTCATAGCCTATTCAATGTATGAGTGTAAGCCATGTATGGAAGGCCAGAGGATAGGCTTGAAATCCAATGGGTATGAGCAGAGAAGGATTCCCCCGGGGTGGGGAAGCAATTTTTTTTTTAAATACTTTCATTTGTGAAAAAAAAAAGTCAAAACTAAGGGTTAAAGGGTAAAAATACTTTAAAAAAAAATTCCCAAGAGATTTTGGTATCCTTAAGTCAATAATAGTACATAAATACCCATTAACTTTATATAACAGGTCAACCTTCCCCAATCCAATAAGTTATATTCTTAGAACTTGATGGTTAATGTCATGCTATTTAACAAATTAGGAAAGGTTGTCTTGTTTTTATGAAGTTAATGGATACTCATGCATTATTGTTGATTTAAGAATATCAAAAGCTCATAAAGAAATTTTTTTGAATAATTTTGGACCTTAACCCTAAAGTTAATTCTGGCTCCCACTTTTATATGGTTTTCCATTTTGGCCCCGTTGGACGGGTTTCTAGATCCATATAAGAGCAGGTCCGTGGTCTTTGACAAAATCAATGATTCGATTCTTACAGTATATTCCTGGCAGGTGCATGCTTATTGGCTTATTGCAAGAGAAGGCAGAGAAATAGTGTAGTTTCCATTTCTGTCATAATCTGTTTTGTAAGGTACGTGATAAACATATTTGCATACATTCATTAGCTTAAAGAGACCATTTTACATGCCTAATATCATTTCATATGCATTTATATTACATTTTTAGTGCAAAATTGCCTATGCGTTGAGTTAGATGCATTAGGAGTATTTTGGCTATAAACTGCACGTTTTACAAATGTGGGGTTAAGTTTTGGAATTATGTTTTTTAATGAATTAAAATGATTGGCCAAATTGGTTTTTTATTTATTCATCTGAGGTTGGAAGTTATTAAGAAAAGACACACTTTAAGGTTGTCTCTTTAAAAGGTTTTCATTTAGCTTTAGGTTTTAATTCAAATGTGTACTTGTTTGCATTTGTGTCTTGTGAGACCTTTGCATTCATATTTCCTTTGTTACTTTAATAACTAGGTTGAATCAAATATTTCTATCTTAGTTCAATTAAATAAATGTTATACTATAATGAATTGATTATTTGATTAAATTGTGATTTAGATGAGTTAATGTGAGAATTGAAGATATAGTTCAAAGCAATTCAAAGGGGCTTCAAGAAGGCAATATTGTTCGTGACATTTGTGTATATTTGAGAGGGTGCAAGTTAAGCTTGAAATGGTGCATTGTATTGAATCAGGCCTAATTTTGGAATTGTCGTCATTTGCCTCCAAATTCTAGAGGTAGTTTCGGCCAAGGGGGTGAATTGGTTGAAGATCACAACCACTTGATAAGTTTCCATAACTTCTTTATTATTTTCCCTTGGCCAATTTCGCGCATTAGCATTCCCATTCAGATTCTCTCCCAATTTTTGCATTTTCAAACATTTTTTTCTCACTTTCTCACTTGTTCATTTTCTTACTAAATCAATCACTCATATCTTTCTCATTCCTTCACCAAATCACATAAAACTACTCACATTCTCTTCCTCTCTTCAAATTCGTCCACTCCTTTAGATCTAATTAAGGATTAAAGGTTCAAATCATTCATTGAAGAAGATGAAAAGGTGTGGCCTAGTGCGTTTAACTCTTGAAGTTTTGAAGGTAGTGATGAGAGGATTTCTCAAGGTATTCTAAAGGGATGATAGATGGAAGATGAATCAAGAAGCTACACTTGGCTAAGACTTTATATTCTTTTAATTTTTCTCATTTGAATTGATGATTGGTTCCTTAATTTAGGATTGATGCATCATGACTTTGTAATTCTAGTTGAATTCATTTTGTTGTAATGAGAAATATTTGTTTGGATGACTATATTCTTGTGAGAATTGTGGTATTTGATTCGGCCATATCTAGTTTAATGCAAGGTTTTGTGTTTTTTATTGATGAGTCTTATGGTTCACTCTAATCTAACACCGGCCATGGCCTCATAAGGATTAACCAATTAAGACACTTGGTCAACTCTAAAACTAAATTAGAAAGGGAACCTAAAGACATTAGTTGATAACTTAAAGGATCTAAGTTTTCTATGATAGTTTTCATAGGGAGCTTAATTCGGCCAAGAAGAGAAAATTAACATGAAAGCCGTAATTAATGAAAAAGATAATGATTATTTCACTGTCTAAACTTTAGTGTTCCGCTTCATGAAAGGGGATTCGTACACACTCTCTTTAGGTTAGGTTTTCTAGCACTTTTGAGTATATTAGCTTAATCAAACGTTTTCAATTTTGGATAACTTGTACCTTTAGATAACCTTACTTTGCATTTCGCCACTTCCTTGATAGATGGTCTAGGTTGACTCTAACGCTACATTAACTAGTTTAGTATTTATTTTGAGAGGTGGGCAACAACCTTGTTCAAAATGGGATCAAGGTTACATCAATCAATGGTAATTGGAGGATGTCTATGCGACATGGGGGAACGATACATGATTCCATAATTTTCCTCCTTCATCAAAAGCATGCTTTAAATAAACCCGGAACACTAAAGATTCTCAAACGCCATGCTAAACTTGTGCTTAACTGTGAGAGAGAATTACATATAAATTCAATAATTTTAGTTTAATTGTTAATAAATCTTATAGTAATTAATTTTTTTATATAAGATTTCAACGTAATTCCCTGTAACTATAAATACAAATGGGAAAATTAGTGGTTTAGTCCAAATTCTTTTGATTCAATTAAATCAATTGAAAAAGAAAGAGAGATAATTTAAGATTCAAAGTAAAAAAAAGAAAGAGTAGATTAAGAATGATAATTTTACCTTTATTATTGAATTGGCAATGAACAAAAACAAGGGATGAAAGAAAAAGCAACAGTGAGATTATTAAAAAAATGCAATAGTGAAAGAAACATTAACGAAAAAAAAATACAAAGAAAATAAGAAGGTTAAAGAGGCTGAAATTTTAAATAATTAAGGTACATAAAGAATTTAAAATTATGAAAAAGTTATACTAAAACATAGATTTAAATTAAATTTACATTTATAACTTTCTATGTATCTAAACATGAGATTTGACTCAAATTCATATTCAAATTTAAATTCTTATTAATCTAAATACACATTATATTTTTTTTAAAAAAAATAACAAGTAGAACCAATAAATTAAAATAAAAATTTATTTGGTTTATATAGGAAAAAAGAGTATATCCGTAAATAATCCTTACACATAAAATTTCTTGCCACAAATAAATCCATCTTACATTATTCTCTTTATTTTAGACATGTTAAAAAAATATATATATCATTTAGAGTTGGCTTGTTATAGCATAGGAGCTCTACTCAGGTAGGAGACTCTTTACCCAAGATAATGAAAAAAGAGAGAGAAAATGACATCTTGATTTTATTAAAAAAATTATTATTAAGAGATCCTATAAAATTTATAAAATTTTTTAAATTCTAAATCTTGCACATTTATAATTTGATTAAGGGTTTAAGGGCACTAACAACTAGGTACCAGCTACACAAGTTGTAAATGATTGTTACCTAATTATTAATACCCTTAATTAAATTATAAGTACTCAGGATCTTAGACTTGAAAGTATTTAGTGAATTTCTTGAAAGCTTTTGATAATAAATTTTTTTTATGTGAGATTTAGATGTAATTTTTTTAAAAAATTAAATAAAATGAAGAATTTCAATTAAAGACTATAAGTGAACTTAATTACTAGTTAGTTTTAAAAAAAATGTAAAACTTCAATTTAATCTAAGGGAATTAAAATTGAAATAATTTCAACGAAAAAAAATCAAATTACTCTTAACTTGTTATGTTGAACTATTAATTATTAATTTTTTTATTTTACTTGTTAATTTATTAATAAAAGTTATAAATTACATGAATTTACAAATCAATAATTATACAATATTTAATATCAATTATTAATTTACTAACATCAGTTATAAATTACTAATATATATTATAATTTATAACTAATATTAATAAATTAATAAATAAAATTTTAAAATTAACAACTGATATTATTACTTGTTCAACGAATGAATGTAATTTATAATTCATAATGATAAATTAATAAATAAAGTAAAAAAATTAATAATTAATAATTTTATAAAATAAGTGAGGGATAATTTGATTTTTTTCTGTTAAAATTATTTTTTTTAATTTCTTTAAATTGAATTAAAATTTTAAATTCTTTTGAGTTTTATTAATAATTAAGTCACATGGATGGTTGTTAATTGAAATTCTCCTAATGGTAACGTCTAGGTTTCCCTTAGGCCTCCGTTGTCTTCCTTCAACAGACACTGGCTTCGTTTTTCTTGCTCGAGCTGCTGGGGTCTGCTGGAATCCATGTCTTGTTTACTCAGCAGAGCCATTCCTTTTCGGAGGCAGATCATCAACGCTATCTCTCCCTCAACATTTCAACATCAGCTTTGTCTTCAAACCCAGTGGTTTTCTGTGCGGTACGCTAACACAAACGCCTCTAATGGGAAATCTTTCACCGTCTCATATCTCATTGAAACCTGTGGTTTCTCGCCCAAAGAAGCTGAAGCAGCTTCTAAGCGTGTCAGCTTCGAAACGAGGGAGAAGCCTGATTTGGTTATCAAGTTCCTGAAAAGTCAAGGATTCTCACAGCGCCAGATTCTTCGTTTCATTAGACGGGTCCCAGAGTTCCTTCGATTTGATCCTGAGAAAACCTTTCTGCCCAAGATTGAATTTTTCAAATCCAGAGGCATTTCGAGCTCACACATCGTTGCGTTCATTTGTAGTTGTCCTTGTATCATGAGAAGAAGCTTAAGTAAGCATCTCATTCCTTCCTTCGATTTCTTTCAAGATCTGTTTCAGTCGGATGACAAGCTCATTAAAGCTCTTCGATATTGCTCGGGCATTCTTCTTGATACCAACAAACGTGCCGTGCCTAATATGAAGCTATTGCGAGAAGCAGGAGTTCCTGAATCAAATGTCATCAAATTGTTGCAGTTTGTTCCTAAGACATTAACTGGAAATCCTAATCAATTTAAGGAGATTCTGGAAAAAGTGAAGGAAATAGGGATTAATCCTTTGAAGTATCAATTTCTCATGGCTGTTCATCTGTACTCATCCTTAAGCAAATCCAACTTGGCAAAAAGGGCTGAAGTTTATAAGAAGTGGGGCTGGTCTGACGATGATATTCTCGCGGCATCTAGAAAGTTCCCCTTGTGTATGATAGCGTCAGAGGATAAGATTGATGCAATAATGGAGATTCTTGTCCATAAATTGGGCTGTGATCCTTCCGCTATTAGCAGCACATATCCTAATGTTTTGGGATATAGTTTGAACAAACGAATTGTTCCAAGAAGTGCTGTCCTTCAAGTTCTGTTGTCAAAGGGTCTGACGAAAAGAAAAACTTTGCTCTCAACATTTCTATACACGGAAAAGGACTTTTTAAGGAGGTTTGTCCTTTGTCATGGGCAAGAATCTAATGCGTTATTGGAGTTGTATCGCACAAAACTGGATCAAGCAAAGTGAATGAACAACGGAAAGGTTTTAAGGTATGGATAAGGACTAGGATGTCTTAATTGTGTAGATGTCATCTTACTGCATTTCGTTTGGTGCATTATCTTATTGTTTGTTTTAAGCCTTTAATTGATCTTGGACATGTCGACACATCAAGTCAATAAAAGAGCTTCCTGCACACTGAAGTCTCTCCGTCATTTGAACATGACCCATGGTTTAAAGATGATCCCATTTTGACATTGTTTTTAGTTTCTTAAAGTAAATCATTTTGGAGTGAGAATCATGTGCAGTATAGGTTGAAATAACAAGTCCTGAGAATAAGGAGTGGCTGTTAGTTGGGGGAAAAAAATCTGCGCATCTTAATCTCCTTGGCCTCTCGTTGTTCTGGACCGTATGTATGTAAAGCGTTGGAGATCAAGAATCTTCATCACATAGGCTCTGATCACCTATCTTTTCCTTTCTTTGTTACTTGTTATATATTTAGGCTTAACTTAACATTTGAGTAAGCTGATATTGTAGGTTTGGTTGGGAGAGTAGTTTCACTGCTCTTGTGAAATTAAGCGACAAGAATTCTCTTCCCTCTATATTTCTTCAGAATAATTATAAATTCCAGCATGAGGTCTCATAAAACCTTTAACCATCATCCTGTTGATTATGTGCATAAGCCTAGAATTGCAAAGATTCTCCAAGACGTGGCTAAGGTCACTTGTATGTTTACTATCAGGTCATCCAGTGAAATGGATAAATAATGAAGTGCTAAACTATAAATAAATATCTGTTTATGTTTTTATGAAAGAACATGATGATAAGTCGGCACAATATTCATCATGTATGAAATGGAGGTTGGGTTTGATAATTTTATACTCAGTTCAGCTAGCCAATTAACTCGCAGTGTGCACTTGGAAAGAAATGGAGACAGAATAGAGAGCTATAATGTTGCTGAGCTTGGGGACATGGTGTCCAGTTGCACTTGAAAGTTAAAATTAATGAAAGCTGATTTCTTGCTACTGTAATATCCATTTTGATGCAAGACAGTAGATTCAGGTGCACTTGCAAACTCTTCTTGATGATGATTCCAGATTCCCATGCTGTCATTCCCATTTCTCTATTGTTGACATTTTCTAGGAGGAATAAAAGATATTTTTGCTCTTGAACTATTTTTATGAGAAGTGGTGGGTATCTTAGACTATTTATTGAGGTAATGTCATCCTTCAAGTGTTAAAATAGTTGCAATGTTGTCTCTTGATTAATAGACATTGATGTTGATCGTTAATCTCAAATTATCTTGGTGTTAAAGAATATTTTTGCTCCTAAAATAATCATGGAGGAGTTATAGACATGCCTGTGAATGGAGTTTTTTCTAATTCCAAAAAAAAAAAAGAACAAAATAAAAATTAGAAAAATATTTGGATTACGGGGGAAGAAGGAAAATTTCCCTAAATAACCCATAGAAATAAATACATTTTTAATCGATCTTTTTATTTACATTACATGTTAAAAGAAAAATTAAAGACTACTTTTTTAAAATAAGGGAAAATGACAATTAGAAACTCATGGAAACATTAATGACAATTACAAACTTTGAATTATTGAAATTTTAATAATAAATCAAGATCCTTACTTATAATAAATTATCTTTTATTGATTAGTTTAAAATTCACATTGAATTTTAGTAAATTGTCAACTAACATTATAAATATTCTCAGCTAATTTTTGTATATTTCTGAAATGATAACAAAAAATTACAAGTGATTGGGTTGTAATTTATAACTGGCTCTCATAAATTATCAACTGATGTTATAAATAATCTCAATTATATTTATTAAATTTTCCAAGGGATTTATATATTTGCATATATATTGATTGTAAAAAAATCATTACTAATTTGTTTGCGATTCATAATTGATTTACATAAATTTTCAGCCAATAATATAAATAATTTCAAATTTATTTATTTAATTTTTTAAGTAATTTTTTTATTTATTGATAGTAAAAAATTTATTATTCACTTTTTTAATTACAAGTATCAACCATGATCTATTATTGAAATTTTAATAATTTAAAATTTATAATTAACATTAATATTAATGTTTTTACGAGATCTCTAACTATCATTTTCCCATTATATAACTATGTGAATAAATTGAATATTGTCGGACCCAACTGAAAATTATTCTTTTCTACATTCAATATTTAACTTCCACAATAGATATTGGTACATTAAGTTAATGAAACCTTTAAAAATAAAGTAAAATATTCTTTATCACCTAGAAAGATTTGATCCATAATCTATAAAATTGAATTTAAATGTAAGGAGTACACATTTCAATAAACATTCTTGATCTTAAGTTTCTTTTAGTTTCGGAGTAGGAGTATGTTTCGGCTTGGTATATCCCAAGACCCATCTAACCTTAAACTTTCTTTATTAAAAAAAACTAAAATATATATTTTAAAAATATAAGATATTATGTAACTTTGAATAAAACTCGCCTAGATGAGATCAAATCCCAAAGCAATGTCCCGTTTTCCCTCTGGCCTAGTGACTGTATTCTTACTTCCTGGCATAACAGAGTGCAGCTTCTAGGTTATCTTTCTCCAGAATTCATGTCTCGTTTTATCCGCAGAGCCATCCATTTTCGGAGGCATATTATCATCGAAATTTATCCTTCAACATTTCAACATCTGATTTGTGTTCAACCCCAATGGTTTTCTGTTAGGTACGCTTCTTCAACCTCGTCGAATGGGCATTCTTTCACCGTCTCTTATCTCATTCACGCCTGTGGCTTGTCACCCAAACAAGCTGTTTCAGCTTCCAAGCGTGTCAGCTTCGATACGCGAGATAAGCCAGATTTGGTTATCAATTTCCTGAAAAGTCATGGATTCTCACGGCCCCAGATTATTGGTTTCATTAAACAGGTCCCAGAGTTTCTTCGATCTGATCCTGAGAAAACCTTTCTGCCCAAGATTGAATTTTTCAAATCAAGGGGCGTTCCGACCTCACACATCCCTAGGCTCGTATGTAGTTATCCTCAGATCATGTCAAGAAGCTTAACGAAGCAGCTCATTCCTTCCTTTGACTTCTTTCGAGATGTGTTTCAATCTGATGAGAATCTCGTTAAAACTCTTCGATATTGCTCGGGCATTCTTCTTGATATCAACACACGTGCCGTGCCTAATATGCAGCTATTGCGAGGAGCAGGAGTTCCTGAATCAAATGTCATCAAGTTGTTGCAGTATTTTCCTAGGGCATTAACTTACAGTCCTAATCAATTTAAGAGCATCGTGGAAAGAGTGAAGGAAATCGGGATTAATCCTTTGAAGTTTCAATTTCTTATGGCTGTTCATGTATACTCATCCTTCAGCAAATCCACATTGGCGAAAAAGGCTGATACTTATAAGAAGTGGGGTTGGTCTGACAATGATATTCTCGCAGCATTTAGAAGGTACCCCTTCTGCATGACTGTGTCAGAGGATAAGCTTGATGCAGCATTGGAATTTCTTGTCCATAATTTAGGCTGTGATTCTTCCGTTATTAGTACATATCCTATTGTTTTGGCGTACAGTTTGAGAAAACGAATTGTTCCAAGAGGTGCTGTTCTTCAAGTTCTCTTGTCAAAGGGTCTGGTGAAAAGCAAAACTTTGCTTGCAACATTTGCATATACGGAAAAGGTCTTTTTAAGGAGGCTTGTCCTTTGTCATGGGCAAGAAGCTAATGAGTTATTGGAGTTGTATCGTACAAAACTGGATCAAGCAAAGTGAATGAACAATGGAAAGGTTTTAAGGTATGGATATGGACTAGGATGTCTTAAACTCTTAATTGTAGAAGTGTTTTCTCACTAGTCACTACAGTCTTTTGGTGCATTACCTTCGTGTTTGCTTTAATTTTGCTTCGGCTTGTTGATGCATCAAGTCAGTGAAGAGCTTCCTGTACACTAAAATTGCTCCCTCGTTTGTATCTGATTCTATGTCTTAAAGATTATCTATGACAATGATCCATACCCCTGAACGAGTCATTAACTCTACCGTTTCCATTGTTGATCATACAATTCATGCTAGGAACCTTTGGAGTAATTTTGTCACTGGCTCTTAGCCTGAGTCCTTTGCTGTTTAGTATTTTATAATCTCACTTGTTTTATTTGTAGATTATTTTTCTGAATGATATATTATTCCCTTTCCACTGAAAACAAAAAGATTATCTCTGATATGATCCATTGTTAAATTTGTTGTTCTGAACTACATGCTTGTGCAGGTGAAGTAAGGGATGTGTTGATCATGAACCATCATGACATAAGCTTCCATTTCATCTGTCTTTTCCAGATCTATTTATTTCCTTTATCTTTCTGTCATTTGTTATTTTTATTTTTAGGTTTAATTTAATGTTTGAACAACCTGATTTAGGGGCATTGGTTGGGAGATTAGTTCCCTGCTCTTGTGAAATTGAGCAATAAGAATTCTCTCCCCTCTATATTTCTTCAGAATTATTATAAATTCAGCTTGAAGTCTCATAAAACCTTTAACATGTATCCTCTCTTTTTATTTTTTTATTTTTTTTTCTTTTCTTTCTTTTTTGTTGGTTATATCCTTTTACTGCTGTTAAACCTGCATATGCTCAGAACTGCAAGGATTCCTCAAAACTTGGCTAAAGTTACTTGTGTTTATTATCAGATCATCCAGTAAAATGGTTAAAAAACGATAGTACTTACAGGTACTTGTGTTTATTATTTTATTAATAAAATTTGTTACATGAACTGTACGACATCATTATTTTCTAATGCCACCAAACTTGAGCATATTGTTTACTAAAAAGTATCTTTAACAATTTCATTAAGCATTTTATTTAATTTTTTCTCTATCTCTTCTTACAGGATTCAAGATTTTTTTTCTTTTTAAACCTTTGTCGCCAACACCTCACACGGCCTTTTTTATATATGTACTAACCATTTTAAATGATTTTGTCATTTTTTCCCTCAATAAATGACACCCCACTCTTGCCCCCATTTGATCATTATAAATCTTATATTTTTTTGTATGTTTACGCATTTATCTCAATATCTTTATTAATTAATATTGATTTGGAATAGAATTAGATGATTTTGATGTTTTGGGATGAGTAGGTCTAATTTATTTATTTATTAATAACTTGATCAAGTAAAAATTATTAATTAATTAAATGTATTTGCCAGATATGAATTAATTATATATAACTTCTTACAATCCGAAATTGATAGGATATATTAAAATTATTGCCATTATGATTTTAAGGGTTAGACAATGAAATTTAAATTTAAATTATCAACCGTTAATTGTTTTAGTGGCAAACTACAACACCACTTCATTCTTTCAGAAGAAGTTTTGGATACTATTGGCACAATTGTATGTGTGTGATAGTGTCTATCTCTCTTCCTTATGAGGAAGAGTTAGATTAGAGGTAACATTTTTAAAATAAAATTTAGATTATCTCTAGTTAAACCTCAGTCATTTAATGTTGTTCTCTAGTCACTCCTCTTATATGCTCTATTTTGTTAAAATTCGTTTGCTAATTTCAACAATAACTCTACATTACTTTTGGGTTCAAACACTTGATTCTTGAAACGCTCTACATTATTTTATTACTTTGATCAACCTAATTTGTTGAATTAACTAAACATATTGAGGTGAAAAAAAAACGACATAAGATCTTATTTTGATATGCAAAAGTAATTTCATGGTTTTATTCTCTTATTTCACACCAGATTATAATTAAATCATGACAAATTAAATATTTATAAAAAAAATAAAATAGAAAAGTATTTGCTATGCATTGGAAATAAAAAACTATTTCTAAAAATAATCGTACAAATAAATGCTTCAAAAATTGTTCTTTTAATTTATTTCCATGAAAAAAAGAATGACGACAATTTTTATACGTATTTAGTTTAATTTCAACAATAGATATTCATGCATTTTAGTTCAGCTAATGAAAAGCATTAAATTAAATTAAACATAAAATTTGGAGTGATCAGAGATCAAAATACTGTCTAGGTTTCCCGATGGCGTCCGGTGACGGTGTGTATTCCTCTAACAGACTCCGGCTTCGTTTTTCTTGCTCAAGCTGCCGGAATCCATGTCTCGTTTTCTCCGCAGAGCCATTCCTTTTCGGCGGCATATTATCAAAGCGATTTCTCCTTCAAAATTTCAACCTCAGCTTTGTCTTCAAAGCCAGTGGTTTCCTGTTAGGTACGCTAACTCAAACGCCTCGAATGAGAGCTCTTTCATGGTCTCATATCTCATTGACACGTGTGGCTTCTCGCCCAAAGAAGCTGAAGCAGCTTCTAAGCGTCTCAGCTTCGAGACGAGAGAGAAGCCAGATTTGGTTATCAAGTTCCTGAAAAGTCAAGGATTCTCACAGCCCCTCATTCTTGGTCTCATTAGAAAGGCCCCATGGTTTCTTCGGTCTGATCCTGAAAAAACCTTTCTGCCCAGGATTGAATTTTTCAAATCCAGAGGTGTTTCAAGCTCACACATCTCCAAGCTCATTTTTAATTATCCTAGCATGATGAGAAGAAGCTTAAGTAAGCAACTCATTCCGTCCTTTGATTTCTTTCGAGATTTGTTTCAATCTGATGAGATGCTCATTAAAAGCTCTTGAACATTCCTCGGGCATTCTTCTTCGTTCTAGAACCTCTACCGCGCCTAAAATAGAGATATTTCGAGAAGCAGGAGTTCCTGAATCAAATATCATCAAATATTTGCAATTTTACTCTAGATCATTTACTTTTTCTTCTCCTGCTCGAATTAAGAAGATTGTGGAGGAAGTGAAAGAACTTGGTTTTGATCCTTTGAAGCTTCAATTCCTTATGGCTGTTCATGTATGCTTATCCTTAAAAAAATCCACACTGGCTAAAAAGGCAAATGCTTTGAAGAAGTGGGGTTTCTCTGACCATGACATTCTTGCAGCATTTAGAAAGTTCCCCTGCTGTCTGACGCTGTCAGAAGATAAGATTGATGCAACATTAGAGTTTCTTATCCATAAATTGGGCTGTGATCCTTCCGTTATCAGTAGCACATATCCTTTTGTTTTGGGATATAGTTTGAAAAAGCGACTTGTTCCCAGAGGTGCTGTCCTTCAAGTTCTGTTGTCAAAGGGTCTGGTGAAAAGAAAAACTTTGCTTTCAACAATGTTGTATACGGAAAATGACTTTTTAAGGAGGCTTGTCCTTTGTCATGGGCAAGAAGCTAATGCGTTATTGGAGTTGTATCGTGCAAAACTGGATCAAGCAAAGTGAATGAAGAATTGAAGGGATTGAAGATATGGATATGGACTAGGATGTCTTAATTGTAGACATGTTTTCTCACTACATTTGTTTGGTGCGTTACCTTATTGTTTGCTTTAATTCAGCTTGGACGTATTGACACATCAAGTCAATAAAGAGCTTCCTGTACACTGAAATATCTCCGTCATTTGAACATGACCCTATGTTTTAAAGATTATCTATAATACGATCCAATTATAACATTGTTTTTAGTTTCTTAATCTCCTTGGCCTCTGGTTGTTCTGGACTGTATGCTTGTAAAGTAATGAAAGTGTTGGAGATCATGAACCATCACAACATAGGCTCTGACATGATCTATCTTTTCCTTCATTTGTTATTTGTTATATTTAAGCTTAATTTAATGTTTGAGTTAGCTTATATAATGGTATTGGTTGGGAGAGTAGCTCCATGCTCTTCTGAAATTTAGCAACAAGAATTATCTTCCCTCTATATTTCTTCAGAAACATTACAAATCCTGGCATGAAGCCTCAAAAAACCTTTAACCAGCATTCAGCATCCTGTTCTTCATGTTAACCTGCATGGATCAGCGGCAAGATTCTCCAAGACTTGGCTAAAGTTACTTGTGTGTTTACTATCAGGTCGTCCAGCAAAATGGATAAATTGATAAATGACGTAGTGCTTAACTATAAACAAATATATGTTTATTATGTCTCTATTTAAGAACATGATGGTAAATAGGAACATAATTTGGCATGTATGAGATGGAGACAGGTTTAGACTTATTGTTGATGACTTGGCCTGCTAACAGCAGGTTTAATCTGTATTTTAAACTTCCCGTTTGGTTTCTCTCCAAGTGAAATGATCCTGACACATTAAAGTATCTACTTTTGTGCACTTAGACAAGTTAAGGTCTGAAGAAAAGCTTCCCGTTGATTTTTTTTGTTTTTGTTTCTCATCTCTCTCCTTCATAAAAAGTAGGTTCAAAGTAGTCTATTCTTTCAGAGAGTATAGCAAATCTTTTACCAGAGGTTGTGATGTTAAGTTCAAAGTAGGTTCAGTAGAATACATAGGATTCACCACCTATAATGTTGCTGAGCTTGGGGACAAGTGAATTGTGATTGCTATCCATATTAGATTGTTCTTATTAACTGGAATTATTGAAGCTGATTTCTTGCTACTTCAAATGCAATTAGATGCAACAAAGTTGAGTACACTTGCAAACTTGCTCGATAATGATACCAAATTCCTAAATTGTTGGTCCCATTTCTTTATTGTTGACTTTTCCCTTGACTAATTTTATTTCAGGCTTTTCGTTTCTGATTACAATATTCAGAATTTCTTGACCGTAAATAGATTGGCACTAAAATTTTCTTCATCTATTGGTTAAGTCTTCTTTTTTTTTCAAGCTCGTTAAGTTTTTCATCTATTGGTTAAGGCCTTATACATAACAAGGAGGCTTTATGGGCTAGAGTTATTAGAAGTAAATATAAATGTGAAAGGGAGCTAATTCCACAAGTGAATAGGACTCTCCCCGGATCTCAGTTCTGGAGAGGTTTGAGAAACAGTTGGGAGAAAGTTGAAGCAAAGTTAGAACTTATAACCAACCAAGCGAATTAGAAAGTTGTTAGATGGAAACCTGAGAAGCATGGTATTTTTACAGTTCATTCTGCTTATGATTCATTGATAGATAGTTATGATTGCCCTGATCAGATGTGGGCCAAGATTTGGAAGCTTCGAGTGCCTCAGCGGTGTAGATTCTTCCTTTGGCTCACGAGTCATGATCGTATCCTTACTAATAAATCTCGCTTTGACCGTCATTTGGATAATCAACCGTGGTGTAGTTGTTGTCCTTAGGAGTTTGAAGACACTCTACATGTGATGAGACAGTGCCCTGAAGCTAAGGAAGTGTGGATGAAATTATTACACCCTTCTCAAAGACGGGCTTTCTTTACCACAGACTTACGTGAATGGTGTAAGATGAATCTCAAGATTCAGGTAACAGTTAATAATTTCAAGTGGTGTGATTTGTTTGCTGTTCTGTGTTGGGCAATATGGAAACGTAGGAATGAGAGAGTTTTTGAGGGACGAAGATCGACTACAGTGAGTGTCATCGCACAAGCTACTGTTATCCTTAACTACATGAATGAGGCTAACTGTCATTTACAAAATACCTCTATTGCTGGCATTCGTCCTAATAATCAGGTGGATATGACTATCTTAGCTACTGATGAGCTCTTTGTTTATGTTGATGGGGCTTTTACGACTGCTACGAATTCTAAGGGTTGTGGAGGTCTAGTTTAAGATACCAAAGGGAATATCATTGAAGCTTTCATACTTCGTTTAGAGAAGGGGGATAATCTGACGGTAGAATTATGGGCTTGTTATATGGGCCTAAAGCGTGCTTGGGATATCAAAACCAAGTATGTAAGAATCCATAGTGATTATCATGAAGCACTGTCTCTGTTAAGAGCCAATAATTACGACCTTCATGAAGACCGAGAGCTTATTGCTGAAATTCAACAAATACTTCAAAGAGACTGGCAGGTTGATATGAGATGCATTGGAAGGGAGTTCAACTCAGAAGCTGATTCCTTAGCAAAACATGCCTTATCTCTCCCCATGGGTCTTCACGTAGTGGCTGGTGACTCTATTCCTTTATTCATGGAGGAGTTTTAGTTTTTATTTGTTGTTTGTTTTGATTGTTTCTTATTTATCAAAATAAGAAAAACATTATGTCATTGTTTGGGCTGAAAGTGAAACATCATTTACCATGACTATAGCAGAAAATGGGCTGAATAACTAAAAGTTAGGCCCAGTAAGTGATTTAACAACAGGGCCAATCCAAATCGCGATGGAATAACCTGGCTAAATCAATTCAAGTATAGGAATACCTTAAGACTCAAAATCCTTATTTAAATTGTTGCCTCACAATAGACTGTGATCTCAACAAGCCTCGAATCTCGCAAGGTCATGTCTATTATCCATGAATATCTTTGGGACATGAGCTGATAGTTAATGATGGTACATGTTGCAAATAGGAAGATCGTGCCACGAATCTCGCGAGTCGAGCCTACTAAAGCCTTGATATTTTGAGAACGAGTTTTAGATTCTGTGGAAGCAACCGTCTCAGCTAAACCATTATAAAAGAAAGAGAAGGTCATAGAGAGAAAGGGGAGAACAAGAAATCCATTATACTTGTAGCTCTTAATTTTCAAATAACTTTCAGCTTTGTTTTTAGTTTTGTAATCTTTACTACTTTGTAATTTACCTTTTATATTAATCAACTACTTGTTATTCCAATTCTTTTGTATCTTATACATAAGAGTAAACTATAGTAAGGGAATTAAGACTCTTTTGTTATCATATGAAACTCAACATCTCTGGCATGTCTGTTATTTTTGTTGTTCATGATGAATAGTCATCTATTTATTTTTCTATATAAATAACTCCACACACGCGCTTGTAATAGTAATTATTTTGTAGACAATTTTTCGTGAGCCTGTCTATCTTTTTATTTTTGGTACAGAGTCTCTTTATTTTTATCCTCAATTTGAATTTCTTCATGCTATCTTCCCAATTTTTTACAGCAAAGTTTACACTAAATTCATTTTGTCTTCAACTTCTAAACTTGGAAATTTTATAAGAGTTTTCTTGTTTTCTATTTGAAGCCATTTTAATTCATCTATTTGACCATATTTTCCAGACATTGTCTTCTTCGACTGGACCTTTGTATTTGTGCAAGTTTCTTCACGAACTTATTTAGTCTCAAGGTCATGTGGTTCATATTTTTTTAATGGTTCACTATGATTAGTTCATCTAATCTTAAACCAAATAGTAGTATCTATAACTGAATTACTGATATTACTATGGCAGCGAAATAATTTTCATTTTTTTAGTGGATATGTTTATCATGTCCATAACCTTTTTCAATCATTATTTATTCCACTCATTTTCTAATACACGTCAAATATTATTTTAACAGCGAAGAAATGAAAATGTTGAGGTGCTGTCTATTTAACTAAAAAGAAATTGGTACTCATATTTAACAAAAAGCTTTTTTGAAAAAAAAATCAAATTTCAAATTATTTCTAGCATCGATTTACACATGTTAATCCCCCAAACAATACATGATCCAACAAATAAGAAAATACACAATCCCCTCTTCCGAGTTCTGAGGATTATACTTCCTTTAGACACCATGAATTTGATCTCATCAAGAAAACCATTTAAAGATAATGACAGCCAGGTGACAAGAAATGTGAATCAAACACTAAAACTGGGACCATAATAAATGAAGCAAGCTTTTCAAACGATGTGAGCATATCTGATACTTGGCAGTAACTTAGACACAGCAAATGCTTACTTGTAGCAATCAGCAATAGATGCATGTCTGGTGCAACATTTTTGTTTTTCTTCTTTTTTTTTTCAATTTTCTTCCACTTTGCAATGGTCCCATTTCTGATTTGCTTGTCATGATCCAAATCAATGCATTGATACAGAGATAGTTTGAACTGATTCCTTTTACCAGCTTCTGATGGCCGTCCACACTGGAAGAGAAGACTAGAGTAAAAAACAATGTTGCCACCTCCAGATCTTCATATATTATTATTTGCTGATGCTGTTTCTTTTCTGCATATCTATTGACTGCTGTAAGAGATAGATATTACCATGAGAACTATTCTTGAGCTATTTGTTTTTAATGTTTGTGACTCGATTAGAGTCTAGAGAAATCATTGGTATACTCAATCTATAAGGATTAAATGGCCAAATCAAGCAAGAATATATATACTCTATCTTGATCTTTTCATATGATTGTTCATAATCAACTTGGTTTACTTTAGACCATGTCTTCCTACAAATTTCTCACTAGATACTTTTGGCAATTGAAGAGATTTAACACCCATAAAAAAATTATATTAACTTCCCCCGGCTCAACTTAAATTTAAATTAGTTAATAATACTTTAATACTGAATACTTTGGGGCCAAGTCCTTCTTTCCGTCCAAGTGACAACATTGAGATTTTGCAGCAGGGATGTGAAAATTTTCTATAGGCTGAGCCATTTAAAGACATTTTAAAATAAAAGTTAAAAAACATTTTTGCTCTTCAACCATTAACATTTGATATTATGACTTTTTATGTAATATATTTTTTTCTTTTAATTTTTAAAATTAGTGCATTGAATATCTTGGTGTTAAAAGTGTTACTTTAAACATTGGCTGGTCCAAAAAATTTCAAAAAATGACCTTAAAAAATTAAAAAAAAAGAACTTAAAAAAAGACTTAATCGATATTAATTTTTTCATAAAATACTTATTTATAATTTTATGATTATTTTTTACATTTTTTTAGATCATTTGTTGAAATTTTTTTGAATCAATTAATAATTTAAAAAAATTTTATGACAAGTGTCACATGCACCACTTTTAAATGGTGAAGGATAAAATATCACATATAAATTTAGGATATTATATAATCTTCAGTGTAATCCTTAAAATAATAAATCACATGCTCTTCAAAGGGGCCCACCTCAGCAACATGCTAATTATAAAAATTCAAATTAGCACGTGCTCTTAATCTTTAGCAGCGGGCCAGCTTAATAATATCTCATCTGAAGGACCAACATGTGGCCTAGTGGAGATGTGTAAACGTAAATATATCAAGAAATTGCAGTTTTGAACAAATATAGAATTAATTACTAAAGAAAGCTTAAAAGACAGAGCAAATAGAAAAGTCAAGGAAAGAAAGTAGAAGACGTGCGCACACACAAGATTTGCTTCACCTAACACATGATCCATCAGTACTTTTTGCCCAAAAAAACAAAAAGAAAAGAAAATATGTTTAGGCAAAGATAGCAATATACTATGATTTGCTGTGGCTATCATTAAGTCTTAAGCTTAATATTTTTTTTTTTTTACCATTTGAAGTGAACTTGTTTCAAGTTGTTTATGCAAGGCCACCTTCTGAATTAGGGGTTGCCTAATTCACAACAAAAACTATTTGAAATGAACTTGTTTTAAGTTCAACACAAGCCACTGTTATTGACCCAAAATTGATTGATTGCGATCATAATACATTATAAGGGAACAGGATGTTGAGCGTCTCATATATAGAAAAACACACAGGATCTAAATCCACGCGAAGTGAAAAATACAAGAAGAAAAGGCAAATGTTTTGTAAAGTGCACAAATAGTTTTAAGTGACAAAATAGAGAATGAAAAACGAAGCAATAGACTATTATTTAGCGTACTCATCTCCATATACATAACTCAATTTTTTCACAGATCATACCCTTCATGCAAATTTACTGGAACTAATTCACATCACCCTACCACGCGTGTTTTGAACAGTACTAGCCCCCAATCCAAATTTTACAATAAGCATTCAAAGAAGCAGAAACGTCAGAGTCTGAATTGAACTCAGAGCTCTTGATGATCAAGGCAATATGTGATTACAGACAAAAGTAACTGATGTTTATAGGACCTTTTCTTCAAAAATTTGCAAATGAGACAACATCTCAATTATGATAGTATAATGAGAGATTGGAGAGGATATATATATATATATATAAGGAAATAGGTCTTTCGATTAGCAGAGGAGCCCAGTTCCTAGTTTCAGGCATCCAGGTGGAATTTACTGTCGTCAATCAAATTGAAAATATATCATCCCTCATTTCATGAGCATGATTATTAGCTTGTTGTCACGGCCTTGAAACTCCCTTCCCTTAAACCGTGCCGGCCTTAGCTTGATCCCTCTCTTGATCTTTGCTAAGTCAGCCGAATCCCACAAGTAGGCAAAGAGGCTAAGAGAACTAGATGCACAAATAGAAAGTAGAGAGCTTGAGTGAATGAACTTTAAGAGCTTTTACACTATGCTTAAGTGAGTTACAAATGAGGGGTGAGAGGGTATTTATAGGCCTCCCCCTTTCTCTAGAAAATTCCCACCTCCTTAATGGACGGTTGGGATTGATTCGATCTAACGGTGTACATTCTATCTCTAGATAATTCTATAGAAATATCTACAAGGAATATCTTGATATTTACAAGGAGACTACTAGAATGTACAAGAGCAAGATATCTCTAGAATGATCTGGATGCTTCAAGTGCTTTCTACACTACTCTAGAGATATTTAGATCTTTTGAGGTCATACCGGCGTATTCCAGAAGACTCCGGGGTTTTCTTGATTGTCCTGGTTCATTCCGGAAACTTCTAGAATATTTTAACCTCATGAAAATTCTATCTTTGTCACATTGTGCCAACTAGAAAGGGGGGGGGGAATCCCTGAAGTGAAGATCATAAAAATGAGAGTGCTGAAATAGTAAAAATCACTCTTCACCACAGAGAATGTTACATCATTGCTTTTCTTAAGTGGAACAGACACACTTCATTAATCTAAAGCCATGAATGTACTCGCTGAAGAAATCCCCAACATACATTTCAACTCATCATCGATTATCATGAAAACAAGCCGCTTGTACTGCAGATAACAACCTCTGAACTGAAGAAAAAAGGGCCTACAAAAGCCAGAGATCTCAATGACAATTATTGTGTATTTTACTTTACCTTATTTTGTCATTTGAACTGTTCATGCATATGACACTATCAAGGGTTCTCTGGACTCTTCTCTAGATGCACCCTTGTAGTAGTAGTACAAAGCTAATTGTACTATTCCCAATAATGTTCCTATTCCATTGGGTACCTACAAAATGAACCGCCCATATGTTTGCTCATCTCAAGCTCAAATTTGTAACTAAGAAGAAAATTAAATGCTGTAGAGGTGGAAGAAAGCTTACATAAACAAACACATCAGAATTGAGCAATCCATAAAGAAAGAATGAAGCACTCATTAAGAAGGTTGATAGCGAAAGATAAAATGGCATAAACTCCACACTCTTTGTCCGAATCACCAGTTTCTGGGAAATACAGTTGAGATTGATAAATCAACCAATTCAGCTTAGCAAACTGATAATGCAGAATCTTGCAGAGGATTTCTAAGGGAAAAACAAGCTTACAATTATAAACAGAGGAGAGGCAAACATTGAAATAAGAGAAGCAACACTCAAGAATCCCACAAACATCCGGCGCATTACATGGTCAGCTATCTGCAAGCTTCCAAATACTATGATTGCAAATAACCCCAAAACAACCAGCAGTAATCCAATCATTCTCACCTATCAAATTGAAGCAAAACAGTATACAAAAGCTTAGAAATGACACAGAGGCTATAAGGCATTTATAATAAGTTCTTCACTCATGAGAAAAAGCTTCCAATGATACATCAGAACTCTAACCTTTCTGTTTTTCTCTGCATATATCACAAAGAGGATTATGTACACAAACTGAAAGACTGCCCCAACTGAGTTAACCGTCAGGACCATTAAATTATCAAGAGATATGAGAGGCGTGCCATACCACATGCAGATCAAGCAATTCAAGAGGGCATAAATATAGGGCAAGCCTGAGAACATTTCTGTTGACCCATTTCTGATAATTCTTCTGAAAGTGGGTCTGAAATTTCAGCACAAGTGAAGCGTCAATAAATGGGAAAAGAGTAATTTCTTCGGAGCTCAACAAGTTTCTAAAGCAATTCACAAGCAAACTTACATGGGCGACACAAATAACCCAAAAGCAAAGATGTTCCCTGGAAATAAGCATTGCAAGAATTGAAATGAAGAAAAATCTCCAGTGAAATCGCAAGAAAACTTGAAAGATGGGCTTTAATTTCACTGGCTGACCAACAATACCCCAGAATCTGTTAGAGGAAAGGGTGGGAAAAGTTACCGGCGATTCCAGCTGCATCCTTGCAAACTGTGAGGATGGAATACGAAGCAGAAATAGACATGAATCTATCAATCACCAAATTCCACCAGAAATCAAACCCAACCCTCCATTTATAACATTAGAAGTGACTCCGGTGACCCCACCACCTGAAATATATGATTCCTTTCGAAAAGATCTTCCCTCTTGTATCTTTCAAATCACAAACTAACAAAAAACATCCACGTTTTGCTAAATACCTTAATAGGCGGCCTTTCGAGATTTGTAGGCACGAGGACGAAAGAATTAATTACTTAATTAATTAGTGTCCCGTAATAGTGGTGTTAGGAGAACGACAAAGAGACAAAAGAAAGAACAACAATGATGGCGCGGCTTTTTATTGGCTTGCTTTGCTTTTGAGCCACGAAAATTCAACGATCTTGTGTTACTCATGTGAACAAGGTTGATTACACTGACAAGGTGCGAAAACAAGCCTGCGCGATGGAGGAGTGTGTGTGTGAGAGAGAGAGAGAGAGCGCAAGCGTGGAGCCTACTTGGCTACCCCGATGATTGAGCAGCTGAGCTGAGCTGAGCTGTACGGATTGCGACAATTCTGGAATTTGGGTAGATGCATGCCGGCTCCAGCAAGTGAGAGTGTGAGATGATAATGATGATCTGATCCTCAGAATGTCTCAGATTATCGTGAATTGTTATCCTCTGGATACGATGCGAATATTCTAATTGCTTTTTGTTAAAAAACAAACTAGAAAAAATGTTTTGCCCAAAAATACATTAGATAGTGGGTAAATACTCCCTCCTATCAACGATTTAGGATATTTTTTGCAAGCTATTGTCATCCAAAATACTCATACAATATTTGATAGTTTTTAAAAAATATTTTTGCATTTTTCTCTCTTTAATATGATCTGAGTAAATTATACATGAGAATCTGTAGGTGTGAGGTTATTAGTTGTGAACAGAGTAAAATTGAAAAAATAAATAAAATTTTCTTGAGATTTAGAAAAACATTGAATTTTATTATTAATGTGTATGATATCTGTTGAAAGCGTCTTACCTTATGCATCAATAATTGTTAAAAGTAGCGCAGGAATAATAAGACATCAATAATAGTAAAATAAAAAACGAGTGAAATCCAACATGTTATAAGACTTGTGAATTGTGATATAAGGAGAAAATTATAGGGAAAATCACAGTTAGATATCAAAAGATATAATAAATGAATGTTACGTCTCCGACAAAATTTATTAACAAATGAATTGTAAATGCTAAATATCAATTTAAATAACTGCAGATAGAAATTTTTATTTTGATATATTTCCTCCATTTAAAAATATAAGTCGTCTTTAGTCAAATCTCACATCTTAATAAAGTAGTTATTTACTTTCAAATTAATCATATCTTTTTATATTTATCGTTATTAAATACACTACAATAAATATAAAGTCATTCATCAATATGGACACTTTTACACACAAAAAAATGATTACATCTTAAAAGACTAAAAATAACTTATATTTTTTAATATCCAACTCTTTAAAAAATCTCTTATATTTTTTAATGAAGGGAGTAAGAGTTATATCTGATATTTAAATGTTTATATATAATTGAAACTCTTGGACTTATAACTATTTGAATTGATATTTTTAACTTATTTTTAAAAAATTATTGAGGATTTAATTATTATTAATTCAATATTTTGAACCTAACTATCATTCTCCAAAAATTATAGGAAAAAATATTTATTCACTACTTTTTAATGGTTTATAGAAAGTTTTATAAATTCCTGGCAAAAAAAAAAATGGTAGGTTTTATAAATGTATATGTTGATATACCTTGTCAATTTGTAAGAAACTAGAAATTGTGTTGACATAGTCTATGGAAGAAATTTGGAAGTGGTATAATTTAGATTAAAATTAAATTATTGGGGTAAATTATAAAACCGCTCAATTACGTGTAACCCTCGCATATGGATAAGCTTCTTATACAAGTTATATTTAAATACAAACACGAAAGATAAGAAAAGGCCACGTAACTTAACCTAACCAAATCCAATTCACCCTTAATAAAATATGTTTGTAAATTAAATTAAAAAAAATAAGAGTTTGACAGGGGAGTGCTTTTGGGGTTTTGAGTATTATATAAAATATGACCGTTCCGTTCCTCAAATCACGTTTCATTGATTAAATTTAATTTAATACTCTTTTTGTTTAAAAATATAAAATATTTTTTAAAAAATTAAATATTTAAAAATATAAAATATTTTTAATTTTTTAAAATGTAATAATTACTTTATTTTTAAGTGTTTCTATCGATAGTAACTTTATATTTATTATAGAGTATTTAATAAGGATAAATATAAAAAGATAAGATTGATTTGAAAGTAAATAATTACTTTATTAAAATAAAATTTAATTAAAAATATTTTATATTTTTAAATAAAAAGAGTATTATTAATATTGCACGATAGAAGAGGAAGGGGTGGTAGCCAAAGAAATCGGAACAAGCACGAGAGCATGTGATAAGCTGAGAAGCCATGAATATTGCAACTTTGAGAATTTAAATTAATTGAAATTGAAATCTTATTTGCTAAGAAAAGTTTATTGTAAAATATTATTGATTGAGATTTTTATGTCAACATATTATTTATCTATAAAATTTAATAAAATTTATTTATAATTTATTTTATTTATGGTTATAATATCTTTAGATTTTATTGATTTTATGAAACAAATTTTAGAGATATTATAAATAAATTTTATTTACATAGATAGATATTGTTATAGATTTAGTACATTTTAATATTAAATTCCAAAATTTATTGAGTGTTATAATGTTTTATATTAAAAATTTAAAATATATTAATTTAATTAAAAATAATTTGACTTTGATACAACTACGGTCCAACCATTAACCATTAAGAGAAAAAAGATTTTAATGAGTTCAATTTTCAAAAAAATATAAAAGGTTAATTTTTTTAATATATTATCACTATTTATATTTATAAGTCACTTTCAATATATTTCACTAAAATTAAAAAAACTTAAATCTTATTAATTGTACATATTAATTCAATAAATTTTTAATTTTATTATTATATTTTTTAAAAATAAAATACTTTGGCATTTAAAAAAAGTTTAACATTTAATAAAGATAAAAAAATAAATGTAGACACAAAAATAATAGAGGTACCATATAAATAAAATCAAAACAAATACCCTCTCTCCCTATAATTTGTTTGAACTTAGAGCACTACAATTTGTGTTTTAGATAATGAATATGTAATATTATAATATAAGACTTAATTTAAAAAATTAAAATTAAAAAAAAAATGGGCTTCCAAGTCCAGCTTTAAGCTTGATTAATAAGGATAAAAGGATTTTAGCCGTCCAATTCTATTAGAATCAGGCAAATTTCTCTGTGCAATAAAAGTTATTTTAATAACAACTTACTTTTTTATTGTTTATTACCCTTCTACCTCTACGCAATGTAAGTATATAAAATTTATTTTACTGTATAATTAATTACTTTTTATATGTTGAAAATATAAACATCAAACTATTTTTTTGAAGAAAAAAAATTGGTGACCGGATACCTACCATTTTAGAATTTCCGTAATTTTAATTTGCAATTTTATTGCAAGTTTTGCATATATATTTTGACTATAAGTTCGATATTCATCATTCATTTTTTGGGAAAGAATCTCTTAGCTGAGATATATTATTTTTCATGAAGCTTTCTTTTTTGGATTTTTTTACATTTTATTATTTATTTTATAAAATACAAAATATTATTGATCTTTTTTTATATGATTATTTGACTGAGTCTAATTCAAGTATCGTTGAATCCATTAGGAGCAACTCTCTTAATTATGTTTTATGTATTCATACAATCTTAAACTCAAGACTTTAACTTAAGACTTTATACTTAAGTGGTTATCTTTCTTAAAAAAAATTAAAATTTATAAAATTCACAGGTTGTCAATTTCAAAATATCCATTCCCATTTTTTTTAGATCCCACATTCATCTTTTTTTAAAATTATGAAGCTTTTATTATTTTTATTGTCATTACTATATGATAAAAATTATACAATATTTTTAAAAAATTTACTACATGAAAATTTCAAAAAAAAAAAAAGTCATATGGGTAAGTCAGATGGTCTGCAATATCCATTCATGGATTGTTAATTTCAAAATATTCATGCCCAATTTTTTATTATAAATCCCACATTCACCTTTTTTACAAGGAGGCTTTTGTTTTTTTTTTTTTACTATGAGGCTTTTATTATTTTTCATTCTCATTTAATATACTATATTTTTAAAAATTTTACTTTACAAAAATTTAAAAAATCTTATGTTAGGTACGGTAGATATACATTATTACCCATCTAACACCAAATACTATAATATAGACAGATTTTATTAAAAATAGAATATAATTTTAAATTTAAAGAAATTTAAAAAAAACGGATTCCAACAATGTTTACTTAATATTATAGATATAGATTATAGATCTTAGACATAAAAAATCCAAATAAATGTTAAATATTTCCTCTATTTAAATTATAAAATATTTTTAGATAAAATTTCACATACCAATAAACTCATTAAATACACTTATCAATATTATTTTTTTAAAATAAAAATATAAAATTTTAAAAATATCTATCATTTAATATATTAAAAAGATAATGGACGAAAATTAATTACAAAGAGAGAGAAAATAATATTAAAATTGATCCATTTAATGAAACTTTAATCTAAAGTGTCTTATATTTTAGAATAAAAATTTTTTTTTAAAAATGTCTTATAATTTAGGATGGAGAGAGTATAATAGAAGAGACCGGTTTATAACATAACAAATTAATATTTAAATTTCCTTAAAAAAGATACTTACATTTAATTTTTATTTTTGTCTGAACAAGATTGTTTTGTCAAAAACAAAGGTTTTCATTTATTAGAGTAGGACACTACTTTGAGGTATGATGTGGTGATTATTAAATCTATACATATATATATATATATATAAAACAAAATTTTATTATATGATTTATTGAAAATTGAAAAATATTAAATAATTGGATAATTATTACTAAATCTTCAAACAAATAATTTAATTTATCATCTTCGTAGAATCGCTTTAAATTCAGGGGAAATTACACCCATATCATCTATATTGTAAATGACCATAAAAATTATAAGGAAAAATGACTAAAATATATAAATGACAAGGAACAATATCTTATATGATTAATAAAAAATTTTAAAAAATAATTAATTTCAATCATAAATTTTATTTAAATAATCACAATATTGATTTTGTAAAATCACAAAAAATTAAATAAGAAATCATAACTTTTCACATGAAATTTTTTTATTATAAAAATTTAAGTTCTGAAAATAATCAATCACAATTTTTATTTAAGCAATCAGAAATTTTATTATTTATATCACAAAAATTAAATAAAAAATCACAGCTTCTCATGTGAAATTCTTTTATTATTGGAGTTTAAGTTCTAAAAATAATTAGTTATAATTTTTGTTCAAGTAATCACAACTTTTATTCTCTAAATCACAAAAATTATATTGAACAAGAAGTCACAACTCTCTACATGAATTCATTATTTTTTTAATTTTAAACAAAGAGCAATTTAGTCATTTAATATAAAATCATTAATGTCAGAAAGGTACTTAGGGACTTCAAAAAAATTAGGACATTTTAAAAGACCTACTTGTTATTTATATATATATATCAGTGAGATTTTATTATTATTTTTTTAAATTATAATTGATTTTTAGTTATTATTATAAAATATAATAATAATAGTTAATTTATTAAAATAATCTCTATATCATCCTTTATCAAACACATCTCAGTGAATATTGTTCCATTCTGTTTTGTTGTTTACCCAACCTAACTCAATCTACCCACTCTAAACTTAGATTGGGCTACTGTGTTGGTAAATATCGAGCTGGATCTCTATTAACATTATTCTTTGCCAACCATTAACAATTTAAGTTTTTGGCATGGTAAGTATATTTTCTCAGATTTGGTATAAAGGTTTTAAAAATTAAAATGCTTCGTGATGTATATTCTAAATTTTAAATTTTGTTATGGTACGTGGTGAAAATATCGTTTTCATATTAGTAAAATCCGAATGATAACTCTAAAAATGTAAACAATTTTAGAAAACATCATTGATAAAAAAAAAATATTTAATTGTAAATTTCATAGAGTGAGTCTCTACCGGTCACTTTCACTGGTTAAGCTGAAAATAACCTATGGCTTATTTGTATTACTACATTGTTAGTCTCATGATTTTAAATGTCTCAGTGATAACAATTTTTTTATTTTTAACATGACCTTTAATCTCTACCAATCTTCCTCCATCTCACCCCGACCCTTGTCATCTGATTTAACTTAAAATTTGATTACTTTTTAATACATTCTATCCGGCTTTTACATGTGCTTAATATGGTATTTTGTCTAAAGATTATTGCTTTTTAATATATATGAGCACTTCATGTGGCCAAAAAAATGTTGAAGATTATTGATGCAATATGATTAAGAACTCTTATGCAATATTGTCTTCAAACAGGCTATGAAAAAAATATATATATGAGAATCACAAGAATGCAAAGTAATAAAATTTAACATCTCATTCATTAATTATACTCATTCACTTCTCTTATGCAATATTGTCTTCAAACGGGTTATGAAAAAAATATATATGAGAATCACAAGAATGCAAAGTAATAAAATTTGACATCTCATTCATTGATTATATTCATTCACTTGTCCTGTTTTCTGACATTTAACTGTAATATTTTTGTTATTATCATATACTCCCCTCGTAAAATGCAAATCAAGCGTTGAATGCGATTTATTTTGGGAGAACTTGTTGGAATATTAAAATATGATTAATGATTAATCACCTAGTTAGTTTGTATCCTAAATCTATATAAAGCAACCAGATATCATTGTATTGAGTTACGAAAATTGAATGTAATCCGTCAAAGTTAATCTCCATAATTTAGGATTTGTATTTCAACCTTTAATTAAGAGATAAATTATTGTTATATATCCTTTAACTGAAGGAAAACTTGGTCGCAATGTTCAATCATAAACGGCATGAAGGTACTCATTCTTCTTCCATTATTCAAGTTCCTAACAGTATTACACATCTCATAGACAAGAAAACTAATTGGTACAAGTCACATCCATTTGTAAATATAAAAATTTAATATGTAAATATAAAAATTTGACTTCTAAACAGATTGAAGAAATAATTAATTTCCTCATTTGAAACCTACCTGTAATTCTCCTTTTCTTTCTTTCTTTTTGTTTTAAGAACAGGCTTCCCTTGAAATTTTTTTTTTTTTTGAAATACATGGGTAAAACTGTGCAAAAAGATCAAGATTAAGTCAAAGTCAAAAGCCACAAGGCTTCTACAGTCAGCAAGTGGTCTATTAAAAAAAATATATATATATCAAAATGATCCCTTAAAACCTTCAAATTTTAAACAAAAGTACTGACAAGTGACAGATGCTGCTTAGTTACATCTGCTTTTTACACACTACATGCACTTCATTAAGCCAAAAACACTAATGAAAAATGATTCCAAAGAGCAACTTAATCATTCAAATAAATTGATGTTGCTGTAAGTACTACGAGTAGTACAAAATTGTTTACATTTTAAAGCAAACTCAATCTCACAAACTGGACGTTTGCCAGACAATCTCACGAACTTGAGTGTATCTGCAGAATCAGCCAGCTCACCAGCATAAAGAAAAATTGTTTCGCACGCCAACCATTTCAATTCAGTTAGACGTAAATGTAGTTCATTAATGGTATGTCTGGATTGAGGAAAATGAATTGAAATGAAAGTATAATCTTACCACTAATATTTGTCAAGAATTTAAATTTTTAGAAATACTTTTTTACCATTGTTCACCAAAATCTAGATAAATTATTCAATCATCTTTATCAGAATTGGATTCAGAATCTTCCTCCATTTGTAACTCTAAAGGTCTCAACCTGTTTGTGTTGGCTTCCAACGGGGGTAGTCCATCATCATCACTAGAGTCCTTCTCAATCTCTGGTTGGGAGGTGTTTCCATGCAAATTTCCATTTGAATCATCAGTAGCCCCAGATTTGAAAATTGCAGGCCTAGATGAAATGATGATTGTAAGACTGCGTGCATGATGAATAGGATGAAAAACAGAAACTAGTGCAGGAACAGCCAGTGCATGGGTGTAATACTGAGAATCCTTTTATAACTTTCAAAAGGCAAAAGAGAAAGAGAGGAAAGAGTTGAGATATTTATGCATTATCATTATTGCTAGCTAGCAAGATCAAAAGGATCAAGAAAAGCACACCATTCTGGAGATTTCTGAAGCATTCGAACTTGTTCATGGTAAAGAACTTGAGTAACAATACAAGCAACCTTGCTACCTGAATCAAGAGCCCTTTCCTTTCCACTTTCATCAACCACAACAAAATTCCCTATACATTGAGAAAGCAGCTTGAGTTAGTTGAACAATAAATCAAAAGTGGAGTTCAGGCAACAAGTAAGTTTTCAAAAGCCAACAAATTCCCAGTTTAATTTTGAGATTTCCTGTTCTCAAAAACAGTTCCATCAGTTGATGGATTTGGTGTTGCATAAATGCAGATCAGATGGTTCCATATTGAATGAAATTCCCAATGCAAGCCATGGAAATAGCTCTCCAATCTATATTTCAACTTTCAATAGGCATAGGCTAACATAACAGATATCAAGTTCAAAGACCACAAACCACTTACACCACTAAATAAATAAAGTAACAAACTTGCCTTTGGTCCTTAAAAGTCGCCACTATAATCAATTTATCTCATGAAAATTTACTACTGCCATCAATTTAGTCCGCATTCAGTTAGGGTCATTACTAAAATGATATATTCTGCAAAACATTAGAACTAAATGGTTGGCACTAAACTTACAAGGACTAGATCAATGAAACGGATACCTTTCAAGGACCAATATAGTAATTTCTTCAATAATAATTAAATGAAAGTGACGGAACGTTTTATTAAGAATATCTTTTGTTGAGGAGAGGACCCATTGATGAGTGAAATATGCAGGCTGTAATTGAGCTCAAGATCAGTTCGAGCTTAAGAAGGGATTACATTCAAGATACTTAGTTAATAACATTAATGACACAAAACAAATGGATCACCAAGACAAAGACATAATGCAACTAGCAAAGCATTATCTTATATAAATAGATCAAGAATATGTGCAAGTACCCTTTTCCTTAAACCAGAAATTATTGGATTGCTTCACACACAGAACAAACCTCGTTTTATCCACATGCTCTTCTGGAATTTAGCTGGGAATAGAGCTAGAAAATTCTCACCGCGTGCATCCATTACCTAAAGAAATATACAGATAAAGGCGGAATCAGAAATATGAACTACTGTGTCTATTTTGAGACACATTGACTATTGAAACAGTAAAGAATCTGGACTATGCGGCATGTATATGAACAAAGTCATGGTATCATACTCTTTTTTTAAAATAATCACCATGTTGTCATTCATCTCTTTTCTACTTTTCTAAATAATCACCATATTGCTCAGGTTCATTCTTATTTTCTTGGTATTGCAATTTCAAGATTTCAAATAATCATGAAAAAAAAAGGTCAACTTAAACACAGATCATAGTTCTCCCATTTGAATTTCATGCGGCTTTCCCATTGGGCAGTCACATATTCTCAAGTCTCAACAAGCGTTAGACTTCGATAGAAACAATCTCCATTGTTTTTCTCAATCACTCAAGCTAAGAGCCAATGTTTTATTACTGAGAAAACATATTTTTGTTCCGTTAAAAGATGAATGCCTTAACTATTTGATTATTAAATCTAAAAAATACTCGTCTCAGTCTCATTTCTTGAAAATTTTTTACTCACTCCTCATGAGTTCCGTTACAAGTCAAAAGGAAAGAAAAAACAAGGCATATATATATACATATATATTGCAGAAAGTATTAGCTAACAAATAAGAACCTTCCATGAACCAATTACTCCAGGCGTGCATCTTTCAGGTCCAACAAGTGTATATGAACATACAAGCAAGAAGCCAAAGTTTTTAAGCCAAAAAGTCCATAATCTTTCAATTAATTGAGGATTAACGGAGAAAAAATAAAATAAAAAACTGCAGGCTCAATTTCCTCTAGTAAATACGTCCAGGAAGATTATACAAACACCTTCCCGTCTATCTCTTTCCTCACTCTCGTAGTTATTGAAAGAAGAAGAAATTAGACTAATCAATAAACGATAATCAAATATGCAATGTTGATAGAAGTAAATCGCAATCGAAGACATACAAGTGAGAGCGGAAAAGGAAGCTTTGGAAGATAAGAAAATTATGAAAGGAGGTGAAGCTGATACCTCAATGAGATTAGAACCACGAAGAGAAACGACCTTCATGATACTTTGGCCATCTTGTAGAGCCACGTCCTGTTCATGTTTTGCTCGCAGCAAGTTCTTCCTTCCTCCTCCCATGGCAGTTCCCGCCGATCCCAATTGAAAACCCTACTTCTCTATTGTCAATTTTTTTTTTTTCTTCGGTGGCAATACAGGGATCTTTACTTCAACTAAGTAGACTGTCAAGCCAGAGAAACCACACAGAAAATACGCGTTGAGTTGTCTATTATACTGATAATAGAATATCATGAGGAAACTCACCTGAACGGAGAAGGGGCGACGGCAAGACGAGGTGGAAGTCACACGCCAACGCCGCAAACTGAGGGAGGCGAAGATGTGGTTTTTGAGCTATTGGTACTATAAAAATATATGTTTGAAGGATGGCTGAGCACTCACACGGACCGAAATTTGAATGCTGGCTCCTACATGTGCTCATATTTTAATTCAAGGTCTTTTTTTCTCAAATTATCGAATTAGATTGTTTTTTGAAGTAACGTTAATTTTATTCTTTAACTATATATAAAAGATTATATGAATCTCTAAACTCAATTAAAAATAATTTACATCACTTAATATCAAATATTTTTATTAATGGATACTTGTCCAAGTGATCAAGGACTTGGATCTTTTAATTTAGGATCTCATATTCAAGTGTTAGGGTATGCAACAACACTGTTAATCATGAAAAGTATGTCTTATCAGTGGTATCTATAAAACTCCTTCAACAAGGGCCAAACTAAAGTAAGAATTTAGATTAATTTGGAATGAATTGGGTGGACAATAAATCTAATATATCCAAACACTTCAAAATACCAAGTGTTAAAGCCAAAAAAAAAAAAAAAAATCTTTGTTCTCTCACCCTATCATTTTCTCCATTCATTTTTTCATTAAGTGAGCCCACATTTAAATTTTTTTAATATTTTTATTATAAAATATTGCATAGTAGGTCTCACCAATATTTTTTATATTTTTTTATGCTAAAGAAATTCTTCTCCCTCTCCCTCCTAGTAGCTTCATCATCAGAAATTCCTTAGGAGCTTTGCAAACTTCTTCAAGCATCACAAACAACACCACAGTGAAGGGTCATTGTTTGGAAGTTGGTGGTATAAATCCTTTATTATAAAGCGCCATCAGATCCTCTGCTCACACCGTCTTTACAAAGCAATATATCGCACCTAAGTATGGTGGCTTCCCACCTTCATGTTCATCATTCTTGTCTTCAGCACATCTACATATTAGAATCCCACCACAAAAGTTCGCCATCACATGAGTCCCGAGCCCATCATGCATCACCCCCTTCTTCAACTGCTCCTCCTTGATCTGGTCAAGCATGTCCACTAACTCAGATAGAGCTCTCTTGCAACTTTAGTGCATGATGTGGATTGGAATTGTTTAACGATTTTAAAAAAATTGGTGACAACTTAATGTCTCATTTGGTTTTATTACTTTTTAAAATGTACTTTCTCACTTTTTAAAAGTTGAATGTTATTTGAAAACCAATTATCATTCAGCCTAACTTTTGCAAAAATATATTTAAATGAAGTTAAAAGTGAATTGGCCAACATAAAAATTTGGAGCTTTTAGAAATGAAAGTTGGATGTTATATATTTATATGACCAAGTTTTCCTTGCTTTCTAGCGTCTTCCTTCTCTCTTTTTTTTATGTTCTCTATTATTTGCTGCTTCTGCCCATACTTTTATCATACCTAACACTGAAATAGTATTTAACGGTGAGTTCAAATTTATGAGCAACAGAGATGGATGCTCTTGAACGGGAAAAAGAAAGAGAATACGGATGAATGGTAGAAGAGAAATTAAGAGAAATTAAATATATAAGTGAATTTGTACTTTTTTAAGAAAAATATATATATTAGATTATACATTATAAACTAAATAATTAATCTTTTTAATTTTTAATATTAATATATATTGAACTATTTATATAATTTTTAATATTAGTCTATTTTAAACATTTTTAATGTATTATATTTGTATAACAAAAATTACAAATCATCATTAATCAATATCCTTTTTTGTTATTGTATGTTTAAAAGTTTACTTAACTAACTTTTAAAATAATTTATTCAAATATAAATTTTATTTTAACAATTAAATTTTACTAAATTAATTTTCTTCAAATATTCATTTGATAAATTGACTTTTGCCCAACGAAAGATCAAACACATCCTTAATCTCTAACAAAAATTCATCTTTTTAAATGTATTCTCATTAAATACTTTATATAGAGATCTTAATAATAATTGAAATGTTAATATATTATATTTTAAAAAATAATAAATTAAGTAAGAGTATAGTTGAAAAAATAATTATTGATCATTATATTCTTGAAATTATAGATTTAGTTTATTTGTAAAGTTAACTAATTTCACTGTTATTAAAGTATGGTAATTAATATCTTTATATTTAAAAAAAGGTGTAGCATTCTAATCTTGTTCTTCTCTAGCATTAATGACCTTTATAAAGTGTATATAGAAATTCAAAGTTTGTCAGTAAGTTGTTGCAATCAAAAATAAGTAATATGATGGTAAAAAAAATAAAATAAGCAATATTGAAAAAAATAAATTAATTGCTATATTTTTTATCTTACATTTAAAATCAAGTAAGATTATAAATTATGTATTCTTGCCACTTGTTGTTGTTTTTAAGACAAAATAATTTAAGTATTTCTCAAAATAGAGAGGATGATTTTAGCATTTGGTATAAACCTCTAATGAAATGTAATGACTTATATTGATCGGACAAGATGATGTAATTCTCCTCTAGGTTTAGTCCTATCATTTTGTAATAAAAAAATAATTTAAGTATTTCTATTAATACAGAGATAATAAAATTTAAAATACAGAAGGCTTAAGTGCTTTAGCAATTCTTTTGAACTAATAATTGATTATAAAATATTTACGTTAAAAAAGATACTTAAAATATTGGAAAAATTAATTCTTTAATTCTTTAATTTTTAACTCACTTATAAGTTAGTCCCTCAATTATAATTCGTTACGACTTAATCCCTCAACTTTTAAGTCACTTATAATTCAATCCTTATTTTTCAAATGTTTTTTAAAAAAATTATCCTTATCAAATAAGAGAGATAAAATAAATGCTCATATCTTACTTTAAAATACCCTTCTCTTGTCCTTTAATGTGAGATCTAAACTAATAAAAAAAAAAGAGCCAACAAAAATTGAGGAATTAAGTTACAGAAAGGTCAAAAGTTGAAGAACTGAATCATAAATAAATCAAAGGTTGAAAAATTGAATTGAAACTATTCATAATTAAGGGATTGATTTAAAAATAAATTAAAAATTAAATAATTGAAAGATTAATTATCTCAAAATATTTATAAAAATTAAAAGGTATTCTTTTTTCAAGTGGTTTAGGACAAGGCTTCTCTAGAGAGGGAGGGGGCAAAAAGAGGATGGGCTTAAATGAACGACGAATTTCTCTGGGCCGAACACATTGACAGACGGTGGGGGAAAAAAAACTTTGTCGAAAAAAAGTCCAGATCAGTGAGCGTGCGTATGTGAATGTTTCAAATCCAATATGGATCCACAATGAGTTGGATCATCAATGCAAAATATTGTTCAAAAGAAAAATTCATGTTGGAAACCAAATTACTCTCTTCAATCCAAAATATAAGCCACTTTTTTACAATCAATTTAATTTAAAATATAAATAATTTAATATTTGTAAAAAAAAATTCTCATTTTATCCATCATATTTATTAGCACAGATTCTTGTACTTATTATGAATTTATGATATTATTGTTAAGCATATTATTGTTGAAACCGGAGAAAGTAACAAATTAGCAAAAACAACCAACAAATATTGATCAATCTATAAGATCATAAGTTTAAATCTCACTATAAAAATATTATTAGTGAGAAATTTCTAAGTATATTTATAATTTTTTTTTAATTTTTGAGGCATATTAGGATTCTAGTGAAAGTCCAAAACTCAACCCACTTAAACTTTTTTATATTTAAAAAAATAGAAAAATCATTTGCTAGCTACTTTGGCAAAATCATTTAAAATTTCATATACTAATTAATAAAAAAAAGCAAATTTCCTTTTTGACACATTATCTAATTATTTTCATCACGTATGGCTTGTGGCAAGTGATTACTGTATGGCATTTAGAATGGAGCACATGAAGGGAAAAAGAAAAAACTAAAGAAAAGGACGAAGGGAAAAGCATGAATAAGTTTAATTTCAATTAAAACAAATTTATAAAATACTCTCAAGTTTATTAGAAATTGGTTGTAATTAATTTTATATGTGAAATGATGCAAATAGCTATAGGATCAAAACTGCTTTTTTTGAACTTACAGAGAGACGAGAGGGAACATTTTGAATTAATGTTGCAAACTGATCCACCTCACATAAAATTTTCAATTAAAATGGACTCCCTCAATTTTTAATTAGGATAATAAAATTTTTAATTCTTCAAGTTTATTTTAACTATTAGTTTGGTTCTTTAAATTTAATTTTTATTAATTTAATCCTTTATATTTTTTTAAATTATTATGTGAATCCTTTAAGTTTTAAAACACATATCAAATATCAAAATAATCTAATGTATAAAATATATTGATAAATATATAGTTAAATGAAAGTAAATTAACCCTTAAATGAGTTTAATTTTTATCAATATAATTTTTTATAATATGTTTTGTTATCGTATTTTAAAATTTTATAGTCTATTTTTTTACCTAAATAATGATATTCCTCTTCATTAATTTATATGATTGTTATCAATATTATGTTATTTAAATTATCAAATTTTAATAATGTAATTTCTTTAATAAGCACAAAATAAGTTAATTTTACTTTATATTAAAGACTGAAGTGAGTTTTCTTAAATTTTATAGTTTTACTTCGAAAAAACAATGAAATATATGGTACTTTTTTTTTCCTATAATTAAAAAGAAAGGAGCATTGAGAAATAATTTCAATTAGTGAGTGTCACTGTCAGGAGACCCTCCAATTAATGGAATATCCTTCAAATGTCCTCCCTTCTTTCCAATTTATAAGTATCCTTCAAATGTCTTCCCTTCCTTTTAATTTATAAGATTTTATTTTTTAAATGTAAATATAAATTTTTAAAAATATTATTCATTTAATATAACATTATTTGTAAAATATTAAATAAAGAGAGAAAAAGTAATAAGTAGGAAAGGCAATATTGAAACAAGTACAATTTATAAAAAATTATTTCTGTTAAATTATCTTATATTTTATACTGAGCCCTTTCTAAAAATGTTTTATAAATTAAAAAGAAATGATTGAAGGGTGTTTGATTTTATCAATCAAGGAAGT